GTGTTGAGTTTGAGGAGTTCTTTATAGATCCTGGATATCAACCTTTTTTCTGTACTGTCATTTGCAAATATCTTCTCCCATTCCGTGGGTTGCCTCTTTGTTTTGTTGACTGTTTCCTTTGCTGTGCAGAAGCTTTTGATCTTGATGAAGTCCCAAAAGTTCATTTTTGCTTTTGTTTCCTTTACCTTTGGAACTTTTTTAAAGCTAATCTGAACCTCTGATCTTTTACATGGGCAACCTTTAAATGTGTGATTTAAAAGATCTTCCCTATTCCAGTATCAGATGAATATGTTCAACATTAATTCAATAATTTTGAACATTTATGAAAGTCAGGCAATGTGCTGGAACACACTGGGAAGGCAGTAATGAACAAAATACATAGTGTCTAGGTACTGGGAAATCTACAGATTTGCAGGCATGGCAGATAGTGAAGGGTCAGGCAAAAGGAGAAGGCAATTGTGTTTACTGCAGTGATTTATTACTTGATAATAAAGAAATGCTCAGAACTTCAACTCTGTGCAGAGAATTTTTCTTTCCCTAGATTTCTGCTGTATACCAAAGTCAGTCAAGGAAGCACAGAATCTTTCTTTAACCCACAAAGCCATCTCTGTTTCCACCTGTAATTTAGCATGTGAGGCTGCATGATCTGTAAGCGGGAGGATTGCTGAGGCCAGACTCCTGCCCGCTGGTGCACCTGCCCACGCACAAATGGTATCAAGCTTTGCTCCTCAGATTGTGTCTCAGCCCACCCTTGCCTGATACAAAGGATTTATTATTATTCAGAAATTTTTCTAAATTCTAATCCATGTATTTCTCAGGTTTCTTTTTTATTGGGTATATTGTGAAACAGTGATTTTTGTTATTTCATTTATCTTGCTTTATGTATATTTTCGAGAATTATGGAAGGTTCCTGGTATGTGCTAACCCTCTTCAATTATTTTTAGGAATATGTATTTTCCCCTATTTAAACATCCCTTCAGTCGTTTAAGGACAAATCTGAAAGTGTAGCTGAAGAGGGTACGAAAATTACAGATATGTGCACCATGGACATCATGTCCAGGAAGTCCAAAGAACTCGTAGTTTTTAAATTGCCTTTCTGATCAAGGTTGTTCAGTACAATTTGTTTTAGTTTACAGTTTTGGAGATTGTTAAGTTTTATTTTTAATTTCTTTTTTATGGTATAATCAGAGATTATGGTTTCTAAAACTCTAGTAATATGGGCAAAATAAGCATTTAAGAGATTTCACTTTTCCAAATTGCTCATCTGCATTCCCACAGTCCTTTTTTCCTCCCCCGTCCCTTATGCTCTGCTCATCTCCCAACATTCCTGCCATCCCTACACACACACAGACACATGGACACACACACAGAGACATACACAGACACACACAGAGACTTCTAAGGATGTACTTATCTGAGAAGGATTTTGATTAGGGTTGCCAGATAAAGTATAGAATACCCAGTTAAATTTGGTTTTTGTTTTTTTTTTGTTAAGTTTTTATTTAAATTTCAGTAGTTAACATACAGTGTAGTATTAGTTTCAGGTGTACAATACTCAACATTCCATAATAAAGAGTCTGTTTTTTGGCTTGCCTTTTTTCCCCCTTCATTTGTTTTGTTTCTTAAATTCCACATATAAGTGAAATCATGGGGTAGGTCTTTCTCTGACTGACTTATTCTACCTAACATATTACACTCTAGCTCCATCCATATCACTGCAGATGGCAAGATTCATTCTTTTTATGGCTGAGTAATAATCATATATATATATATATATATATATATACACACACACACACATATATGCATATACATAAGTCTTTATGTATATATAATATAAACATACCTATATATATTTATATAGAGATATTAATATGCCACAACCATATTGTGGCTATTGTAGATAATACCATTATAAACACCAGAGTTCATGTATTCTTTTGAATTAGTATTTTTGTATTCTTTGGGTATATACCTAGTAGTGCAATTGTTGGATCATAGGGTAGTTCTATTTGTTACTTTTTGAGGAACCTCCATACTGTTTTCCAGAGTGGCCACATCAGTTTGCATTCCCACCAATAGTGCAAGAGAGTTCCTCTTTTTCTACATCCTCACCAGCACTTGTCCTTTCTTGTGCTGCTAATTTTAGCAATCCTGATAGGTGTGAGGTGGTATCTCATTGTACTTTTGATTTATATTTCCCTGGTAATGAGTGATGTTGAGCATCATTTCACGTGTTTGCTGGCTATCTGGGTGTCTTCTTTGGAAAATGTCTGTTCATGTCTTCTGCCCATTTTATAACTGGATGATTTGTTTTGGAGATGTTAAGTTTTATAAATTCTTTATATATTTTGAATACTAACTCTTTATCAGATATGTGGTTTGTAAATATCTTCTCCCATTCCATAGATCACCTTTCAGTTTTGTTGATTGTTTCCTTCACTGTATGGAAACTTTTTATTTTGATGAAGTTCCAATAGTTTATTTTTCTTTTGTTTCCCTTGCCTCAGGAGACATCTCTAGAAAGAAGTTGCTCTGGCCAATGTCAAAGAGGTTACTGCCTGTGTTCTCCTCTGGGATTTTTATGGTTTCAAGTCTCACATATAGGTCTTTCATCCATTTTTAATTTATTTTTGTGTATGGTGTTAGAAAGTGGTCCGTCTTCATTCTTCTGCATGTTGCTCTCCAGTTTTCCCAACACCATTTGTTGGAGACCTTTTCCCAGTTAAATTTGAATTTCAGATAGAGTTTTCTTAGTATAAGCTTACCTCAAATATTTCATGAGACATACTGATACTAAAAAAAAATTGTTAATCTGGAATTCAAAGTCAAATTAACTGACCCATCCTTATTTGTATTTCTTAAAATGCACTTATCCAGGATTTTGAGCTGTAACACAGTTTCTAAGAAAGAAGATTGAGACAGAATACTACTTTGGCCATGATTAAACACTGTCACCTGTTACAACATCATTTTTCCTTTCATGTGTATGGAGGCAGGAATGCCCGCAACACTGGGACTTGTCCTCTTACCTGGTCCCCACAGCTCCGTGCACTGCTCCTGCAGAGTGGGGCACATCCCCATCAAACAGTAACCCTCCCCGTTTTGGCAGGGGAAGCCATTGACTCGGAATCTATCATCAGGGCAAACACCAGATTTACCATCACACATTTCTGGCAGATCACACTCATCTTTTGCTGGTCTGCACACTGCACCAGCCTTCTTAAACTGCAGGGAAATAAAAATGAAGAAAAGGCTTTTTTTCCCACATGACTTACTCGAATATCTCAAGCTAACGTAAATATTTTTCCTTTGGCCTTTTTTTGACAAGGTAGTTAGAGTCATCCTTCTATTTTAGCTTACATCTGCGTTGCATAAACTAAAGACATCTACTATTATATCATTTCTATTGACTTCTGCCAATGGCCTGAGTCTTTAAGTAATCAATATTTCTAAATTTATAGTGCAAGCACTATAGAAATATCAAGGAGAAAGGTACAGAAGAAAACCAAACCTCATCTTAGTTGCAAAGAAGGGATTCTTTCCTTTGTTGAATACATTTTTGTCAAGATTTTCAAGGAGATTTATATTTGCAACTTAAGAGATTTATTGGCCAAGTGAATCTTCTGTATTAAGGCAGGTAAGTTTATAAGCACCAGATCAGTGTGCCCTGAGACTTTCCCAGGCATCATGTTTCCTAATCCTTACTTCCTTTTATTGTATGCTCAAATATTTCTTTTCAACTCACTTCTTCCTATGAAATAATTTCTTATGGGAGAGAAACAACTGAATGTGTATTTGATGTATTTTTGTTTGATGTATTAATTCCACTGCAAATCTTGGTCTTACTGCCTAAGGGAAAACTTAGTCAAACAAATTCTGCCATTTATGCAGATCTGAAGAGTCCTGTGTGGACACTGGGAAGCATATCTTTACCTAGATTAGGTGAACAAACATGCTCCTCTATCATCAGAGAACTTTCAATATCTTTACATAATGACAGAGTGGAATCCAAAATTTAATTAGATCATACACAACCCTCCAAACTCAAACCTTGCTGCCTGGCCAGATGAATTTTCTTAACAGCTCTCACATGAGCATGGTTATACTTCCTGTTCCATCTTTATTCTTTCCCTCAGTCTCCTCATTTAGGAATTTTTCCTCCTTCTGTTCACTTATTTAAAATCTGCACTTGGGGCGCCTGGGTGGCTCAGTGGGTTAAAGCCTCTGCCTTCAGCTCAGGTCATGATCCCAAGGTCCTGGGATCGAGCCCCGCATCGGGCTCTCTGCTCAACAGGGAGCCTCCTTCCTCCTCTCTCTCTCTGCCTGCCTCTCTGCCTACTTGTGATCTCTGTCTGTCAAATAAATAAATAAAATCTTAAAAAAAAATAAAATCTGCGCTTGACTTTAAGACTAGTGACAGCCTCATCTTCCATGAAGCCTCCTCTGACGTCTTCAGGGTACATGGTTGCCTTTCCTTCCTACACATGATGGGAAGATCCCTGAATTTAGATTTGGAAGATGCAGATTTGAATCTTGGCTCTAACAGAGGCTAGCTTTATGATTTAGAAAAGGGACTTAATCTCTTTGAAAATCCATTTCCCCATCTAATATTTCCTTTACAGAGTCATTATGAAACTTAAGTGAAAATATAAATGGAAAACATTACACAAAGGTCAAATATCCTTAAAATGTCTACCTGGGTATTTAATCCTGTACTATTTTTTCATCTGTTTCAGGTATTTATATCATTACCCTAAAGAAATAGCATGTTCTTTGAAGTCAAGGACTACCTCTTTTTTTTTTTTTTTTTGATCTCCCACAATCTCCAACAAGTAAGACTTAAATTCTCAAATTTTCTTCCTTTTGGACTCTTTTATTTCTTTCCTCTCCTTCTGACATCAAAAAGAAAAAAAATCCTAAATCCTACCTATAATCTGGTATGCCATCTGTCCACACATTCTTTCTGCAAACAGGTCTTGAACATTTAAAATGTATGAAACTCTGTGCTAGGTGAGAATGAATCAGTCCCTTGCCCTCAGAAGTCAGTCTAACTAAGAAAATAGACACATAAACAAATAATCATAATAGAGAATTCTATGCAATGATAGAATGTAAAATTCTAAATTTGAACCTGAAAGGAAAGTCAACAAGCCCCACAGAGAAAATGACACAGAATGCTCACTTTATATTTAAGAAATTCACCCTGAAGTGACGTCAAAGTCTGAAGATAGGGAAGACTCCACATTATTAAAACAAAACAAAACAAAACGTTTCCACTTAACCCATTATTAAAGGAATATGCAACCAATTATGAGGTTTGGTGCAAGAAGGCTCTGTGACATCAGAAGCAGCGGCAGGTAGGAGTCCCAGCACTGGGTTTGGAAGAGGTCATATTTGGAGTTTGCCTTTCAGTGGCTCTCTTATTTCACACATTTTCTATTCTGAGCTTATGTTCCTTCAAGACCAAAATGAGATAATATTATCTAATTCATAGGGTTGTTGGGGGATCAAATAGCCCATGTTTGTAAACACTCATATGTAGGCAGCATTATTTTATAGACAGAAAGCTAGTGCTTTGCTATTTTATTTAATATAATTACTGAGATTTTTAATGTAGAAAAATAAACAGTAATTATAATTATTAAAATAGAATAAAATAATAATCTTACCTGGCATTTTTCACAGCATTTTCCTAATGCACATTGAAAACTTGCTTTGATTTTACAAGTTTTAGCGTCACAGCAAATGTTGGTACATTCCTAAGAAATACCAGAGACAAAGGCAAATGCCAGATTGGGCCTCAATTTTTTGCTCTTGTTTCACCACAATTCATAGTGTAATTTTTTCATCATACAGACCCTACTGTGATATGGTCTAAAGATAATTTCCAGGAAAATAAAATATTGAACAAAGGTCAACATTAGAAAAACAGATTTTAAAACCACTGGTGACTTGTCACATATCTGAATTCTACTGACACATTTTTAAATTTGAGTATCTCCTTTAGATCACTCAGCCTCCTATAAGATACTGAAAGTGATCTATTTTTGGTAAACTATGAAAGAAAACAAAAGGAAAATGATAGTTTTTAAAAATAAAATTTATCTAAATAGTTAAAAACATAATTAGTTGAGCTCATCGGTTTTGTCCCTACTCAGCAGTAGATTTAATCTCTAAGACATACTAAAAACGTACAAGTATAGTTCTTTATGCAACTTTCACATTTAATTCAACTCTGCATTAAGCAATAGACTTTGTCTTGCTCTCCCCACCTTGTTTCTGAGAAATCAGGCATCTGCATGAGACTTTGGGGAAGCTCTCCCCTCAGAAACTTCCTCTTATAGCTGTTTAGGTTACCTAAGAGAGTTACAACTTTTTAGGATTAAAACTCTTGCCCTTATTTCAAATATAAACATCCTCTTGGAAAGATTCCTCTTTTCTCATAGAATGAATGCATTTGTGGTCAAATTTTGAAATTACTGAAGAGTCGACCCCTTGAGGCCTTGACAGGTCACTCATATTAAATATTGATAAAATGGGGGCAAAGGTCCCATTGAGAAGCCTGGTGGCCCTACAAATAGGGTAGGATCAGGCCAGGACTCCTAATGGTAAAAACTCTTAAGTCACAAAGAGAAAAACTAAATCTCAGTGCAAGACAGCCTTGCGACTGCCAAATCTAACACCTGAGTCTACATCTTGGCCTCTCTCTCTACCAGCTCTGTGACCTTGGGTGAGCTATTTACACTCTCCAAAAGCTATTGAGGTGCCACGCCTAAAGTAACTGCTCAGTAGGTCATAGTCACATAAGAAAAGTGAAGTTATTTCTGCCAGAAAGAGAGGAACGAGGATACAAATCCCAGTTGTTGAGTGGTTCTTAAAAATCAGGAAATGGGGAAAGATCCCCAAGAAAGAAATTAAGAAGGTCTGTTAAGCAATGCAGTAGTCATTGTTAGCAAGGCTGGCCTGACAAATGTCTAACAGATGAATATATGCAAAGTTATTAAAAAATGTACAACTTCAGAGTAATAATATAGTTTTATAGTTTATAGTCTTAGCAATTGAAAAACAAATTAGACCATCTTAGAAAGTTCTTCGGTGGTACCTCGGGAGTCCCACAATCACAGTCCTCTCCCATTTCTACCAGCTGATTCCCACAGATTGGGATGGATATGATATCTCTAGGCAATGGAGCGTTGAAAAGGCAATTTGATAATTTATCTTCAAAGAACTTGTCATAGCTGACACGGCTGCAGGAACTGAAGTCTGTGGGTATATAGAAGCTATGAAGATAAGGAAAGAGAAAATAGAACACAGTCATGCTGAGCATGAAGGGAGCAATATCACACATTGGGGATGATGCACCCAAAACCTGCACTAAAAGATTAAACCCAATCCACTGCCCAACTGCTAAATCGTGAGCTCTTTTGTGTGCCTGAATTAGCCCTCCAGGATGGACACAAACACCTTGAGCTTAATGAAAAAAATATGTCAATTCTTAAAGTGTAGCATCTAGGCTGCTGTTTTAAAAAACAAAGATGCTCTAACTATTCCAGAGAATCTTAATCAGCCTTAGATCATTTTGGCTGCAAAGTCCTACAGGTAGTAAAGTCATACTTATTTATGTGTCTAAGAATTTACTTTCCTTCAGAGGAATTACTTTTGGCAGAATTTCTTCATTTCACAAACAAAGATGAGGTTTAAAAATGCAATAGTATCTGGGAGAGATAACAAATATATGTGACTGGCATTCCACCATAACAGTATTTTGGAGAAGGGTCTGGAAGACTAACCCTAGGTTGAGTGAGCTGGTACAGGGAAATAGAAGAGAGGAAATACATATATTAAAGGGATTTGGGTTGGGGGGCCTGGGTGGCTCAGTGGGTTAAAGCCTCTGCCCTCAGCTCAGGTCATGATCTCAGAGTCCTGGGATTGAGCCCTGCATCAAGCTCTCTGCTTAGCAGGGAGCCTGCTTCCTCCTCTTTCTCTCTCTGCCTGCCTCTCTGCCTACTTGTGATCTCTGTCTGTCAAATAAATAAATAATATCTTTAAAAAAAATAAAAGGGATTTGGGGATTTTTAAAGATAAAATTCCCTGGAAACTTTGCTTAGGCAAGGCAGGGATATATAATGTCTTTATCCTCCTGCAAGGATGTTCTTCTTTAATTAGCTTTTTCTCCTAGAGCCACCCAGTCTGAATTCAATGAAAATTTGATATATACTAATGGTTTTCTGAAACCAGGTCTTGTGTAGGTAAGATGAAGTTAAAAATGTCAATCATGCCAACAGCAAAGACACAATATGTTTAAATGATGTCTTAGTTAATGAAAAATATTGCATATAGAGGGATAAAGTGGTTTGGTATAGATATGCATTCATGATTATACTATTCAACATTTAAAAGCTTGAATGTGCACTGAAGATGACATGAAAGATATAGCACAGATACAGCCCAGAGTGAACCAAAACCAGGGACAGAATGCATCTTCCCAGAGAGCCTCACCTTAGTGCTCTGTCCATCACACATATTGTAGAAGGGCACTTGCAAACATAGGAGTCATGAAACATTCCAAAGTTATGACCCATTTCATGGGCCATGGTCCCTGCTACTCTAAGCATGTTGTCACTGTGGTCCTAAGGGCAAGAATAGGGAAACAGATCCTCTGGTTTTCAAACTAAATTATCACTCGGCATATAATTAGTTTTACTAACTGGGGCAGAGAGAGTGACTTTACCTTCAGCTTTTCACTACTCACCATCTCTCTTCCTCTCCCTCCCCTTCTCCTTCTCTCCTTTATTCTCCTCCTGCCTCTGTCTGTTTCTCTCTCTCACCCTCTCTCACTCTCCCTCTCTCTCTCTCACACACACACATGCACAACTTTGGTATTGATTGCACAACACAGGGCACATTGCTTGCTCTTTATTCTTTTAAATGGGGAATATTTATAATGAGAAACATTTCTGTGGTTTCCTGCCATGAAAGATAGTGGCAAAATGTCTTCAACGATGATAAGGAATCAGAATTTTTAAAAAACTGATCTATCTGCCACTCCCACTGGCTTGTTTTTAATACCTTCTAATTTGATTGAAGGCCTTTGATATGTTTGGCTAATGGGCATCTGAAAATGTTAACCCAGGACTTTAGTACCATTGGTATCTTTTTTCAATTCTGTTACCACCAAGACTAGACATCAGTCCTTTCTCACTTGTCCCATTGCATGAAGTCCAGCTAGTAACCAACTTCATTCCCAGAGTGTTTCTGATTAGAAGTGTCACACTGGGGGGCTCCAGGTTTTTCCAGGAGTGATAAAACAGCACTACAGAATCATAACAGGCTGTAATTTCCCAGTGGGGAGACAAGAATCTGCCAATTACACCCACCCACAGAAACCTGATTTCCTTATCTACTTCAATTCGAAGAATCAAATAAAGAGATCGATACAGCACAGTGGTAAACAAGGTACACTGGTAAACAAGGAACAACTGTGTAAGATAGGAAGTGAATACTTACAATTCATAATATTGAGTCATTCTGTCAAGATGAACCTGGTAAACCTTCCTATTTAGTAAGATGGAGTTACTCAAGGGGGAACAAAAACAAACCAAAAAAATTAAGAAAAGTGGAAATATGCTTAGACTTTCCACATTACCTTATGAGGTCCTTAAATTTATGTATCTTCCTTTAAAAAATTATTTTCATAACTTCAATGTTTCTTCCCTTTGGAATGAACCCCAAAAGTCGAATTTCTTTTCCAATTTTATGGTAAACTCTTTCAAGTTAGAAAATATGTATTTTACTTCTTCTGTTCACCTTATAAAGCTTTTCACAAATTCAGACTCATAGGATATATTATATATATATATATATATATATATATATATATATATAATCACCCTTCCACCTCAGATGTGCAGAGCTGGGAAGAATATTATTCTTGCACTAAACAAAAGGACTAGACAGAAAAACTTAATTATAATTTTCCTTGATTCTATCAGTCAATTGTGGTTGTAGGACATCCACAGATCTGAAAACTAAGAAGAGACAGGCCCTCCCAAGTACAGATTTGACATGAGAACTGGTTTATCTCCAGCAAGGCAAAGAGGAGGACATGTCAGGTACCTGCAACTGGGGATGCAATTTATCTGAGTTCTTAAATGAATTGCTAAAGGCCTAGTATGGCCCCCTGCAAGAGTATAGAATCAGCAGGACCTCAGAAACAAGGGTACTTTGCACATACTTACAGACATTTCTCAATAGACCTCCTCTCTATAGCTCATGATAAACATTGGGAGCTAGGTAATAGAACAGAAAGAACTTCTCTTGGTGGAATGGGCCATGAGGAGTGAAGAAAAAGAAAAAGAGCATAAGCCATATCCAGATCTTTCTCCTTCAAGGAACAGAAGCCTGAAGCCACTGGGAAGAGAAATAGCAATCTCTGACAACCTAGGGTAGAACTGAAGACCCAATATGGCTAGAGAATGGGTTTAATCTCACACACACACACACACACACACACACACACACACCCTCTACTCCTGAAATAGGAAGACAAAAGTCTTGAGCCCAGAAGCCCATATTGATATTAATTGAGATTTTCTCCTACTGAAGGTGAGTCAGGAAACTCTTCCTCAAAAGACCTGCAAAAGATAGAAAGGAGAGTTTTGCTGTCATGGGAAAGATAGGCAGGATCCCTAAGAAAGTTTTTCCTCTGAGACCCATGACCTGCCTAAGACTAAAACTGGATAAAATCTAAAGAGAAACCCTTACCCTGCTCCTCACCACCAGATTATAACAGGCTGGAAAGAGTGTCACTCCCCAACTTACAATAAATAAAATATTTGGCATAGTAAGATTCATAATTTATAGAACTCATCCACAGCTCAGGGCACAAGGCAACAAACAAACCTGAAATCCAAGGAAAGGTGGGTTAACATCTGCAGCAAAAGTCAGGGCATGAATATTTGTTTACACTACCAGATACCTGATACTACCAGATCCCAGTAATAACTCATACTAAAAACAAGACAAAAAAAAAAAAACCAAAACAAAACAAAACAAAAAACCCCTTAAAACTGATAAAGGCAGAGTGTGTACAGTACAGAAAGAAAATATACAAAATGTGGGAGCTTCAGACATAGGGGAATTCTAACCTACTCACTGTCTTTTCTCCACATGGACCTCACCAAGTGAAAGCTATGAGAAAGTTTACCCAACATTGTGGTCCTGTAGGAGGGGAACAGCAGCAGAAAAGACACGAAACCCCTCCAGGATTATTCTCCTCTATCTCTGCCACAGAACAAACATGATTGTTCAGGGTGAAAGGAGGGTCTCCCTTGTCTTACTCTAGTGCTATCTCTAAACCTAGTTAAAGGGCTTTAAGCTTCTGAGAGAAATGGCAGAAAATCTTGTCCAACCTAGAGCATTGGTGAATTCTCAAAGCAACTCTAAAAAAGGAACAGGAAGGGACACACACACACACACACACACACACACAGCATCTACCCCTGGAAGGAAGGGGAAGAAAGTGCATGAATACATGCTGGGCAGTGTCATGAGAGGTCTCCACCACCTGGCAATGGAACAGGAGCACTGTAAGGACTACCCCAGACAATAAGGGACATGAGACTGAGAATTAATAAGAACAAAGGAGAATGCCCTCTTCCCACCAGAAGTCTAATGATCATCCAGTAACAAGTAACAACAACCTACTAAGGGCTTAAAGAAACTCTGGGGAATCCAGTAAAGACCTAAAGATGAATGTGAAACACACACTCAGAAAAACCCTCTGGAAAACCAGCCCTCACACTAAACACAAAATAATGTGAGAATAACTCAAAGCCTATGATGCACTGAGAGTAGTCACAGCAACAACAACAAAATCCCAAACCCAACTCAATTCCTGCTGGATTGCTTCAAATCCTCCTGCAAGAAGCCTTGCAGAAGGAAAGAATTGATCATTTCCAAGCCAAAACACACACACACACACACACACACACACACACACCTTGGACTAATGTCTTTCACAGGGTGTCTTTCAACAAAAAATAGTAAGGTGTCCAAGAAAACAAAAAAGAAAAACAGAAAGAAAAGCAATACTCTGCCAATCAACAGATCCAGATTCATATCTGACCCAGATGTTAGAATGATCACACAATACTTTAAGATAACTATGATTAATAGGTTAAAAGCTCCAGGGGAAAAGATGAATAGCACACAAGTCTGGATGAGTAATTTCAGCAGAGCTGAACACCATAAGAAAGACTCAAGTGGAAATACTAGAAATGAAAAAGACAATAACAGAGATGAATGATGTCTTCAACAGCCTCAACAGTAGATTTGGAATAGCTGAGGAAATAATCACTGGTCTTAATAGTTCAACAAAAATTATTCAAATGGAAACACAAGGTGCAAAAAGAATAAAAAAGAAAAACAAACAGCAGAACAGAGCATAGAAGTTTTGAGGGGCAATATAGAATGGTCACAGATATATATAACTGGTATCCCTAGAAGAAAAAAGGGACAGAATGAATTAGAAGAAATATGTGAATAAGTAATGGCCCAGAATTTTCCAAAATTCATCACAGATACAAGCCCCAGGCCCAAGAAATTCAGAGAACACTAAGTGGGATAAATTACCCATTTCTCCCCAAACGCCCACTTAGTTATATCACAATTATAATCAAACTGAAGAAAATTAAAAAGAAAGGAGAAATATTAAAGTAGAAAAAAAAGGCACATTTTAGAGCAACAGAGATAGAGTTTGCAGCACACTTCTCATCAGGAACCCTGCAATCCAGCAGACAGTGAAATTAAATCATTAGAAATGCTAAAAGTAAAACATTATTAATTCAAAATTACAAACCCAGTGAAAATACATGCAAAAGTGAAAGAGAGAGAGAGTTATCTGAAGCAACTAAAAGAATTCATTGACAGTTGACCTGTATTACAGGAAATATTTTTTAAAAATCTCTTGGAAGAAAAAAATATATATGTATACCAGATAGAAACTTGTAACTATACAAAGAAATGGAGAGCACTGGGAATGTGATAAAGGTGAGTGTAGGTAGAGATAAGATAAGCATAATAATTTTTTTCTTATTTTAAATTGCATTTGAGAGATGACTAAGAAAAATTAGTAACAATATATTGTGTATTTTTAACATATGCAAAGTAAACCACATGATAACAACAGCATAAGAAATGGAAAGGAGTATTTAGAGGTATACTCCTATAATATTCTTATACTACATGTGAAGTAGCTGAAGAATATTCCTTTTTTTTTAAAGATTTTATTTAATTTTTTAGAGAGAGAGAGTGCGTATGCAGAGAGGAGGGGCAGAGAAGAGAGATAGAGAGTCTTAAGCAGACTCCACACTGAGCATGGAGCCCAATGTGGGGCTCAATCTCACAACACTTAGATCATGACCTGAGCTGAAACAAAGTGTCTGATGCTTAACTGCCAGCACCACCCAGGCATCCTGAGGACAAGAGTAAAAATGTAAATGTAAATGTAAATGTAAATACAGACAAGCAGAGGTGTATAATAAACCAGGGCAACCATTAAATAAAAAAGAGAGATAACAGTTAAAAGCTAATAATGGAAATAAATGAAATTATTTTCAAAAATCCTCAATCCCTAAAGAGGGCAGAAAAAAATAGAAAAGATGGAAGAGCAAAGATCTAGCACGATGGAAGCTTTTAGTTCAACAATATCAATAAGTATATTACATATAAATGATTTAAACACACCAAATAAAAGACAGAGATTGTCAGATTAGATAAAAAGTAAAACCTGAGTTTATACTGTCTACCAGAAACCTTTAAACATAGAGAAGAATATATGCTAAAAATAAAAGTAAGGAAAAGGTTGTATCAAGTAAACTTTAGCTACAAATGTCAGAGTAACTATAATCACATCAGACAAGGTAGGCTTCAGAACAGGAATATTTTAGGAAAAAAGAGGAACATGAAATAATAAATGGATTAATTCTCCAAAAGATAGGACAACTCTATTTGTGTATTTACTTAACAACTTCAAAATACATGAAGTGAAACTTATAGATTTGAAAGAATAGACAAATCTACAATTATACTTGGATATTAACCATTCTCTCTACATAAATGATTCAAAAGAACTGAACAACACTGTAAGTTAACTTAACATAATTGATAATTAAAGAACGCTCTATCCAATAACAGCAGAAGACATTCTTTTTCAAGTTCATATGCAGTATTGACAGAGAACAAACCTCAAAAAAGTTTAAAAATACCAAAATTCTACTAAGTATGTTCCTAGACTATCATGGATTGAATTGTGGCACCCCAACACACACACTCCAATTCATATGTTGAAGCCTTAACCACCAATGTGACGGTCTTTGGAGATAGGTTTTCTAAGGAGATAATTAAGGTTAAATGAGACTATACTCCTGGGGCCTTAATCCAACAGGAGTAAAAAGGAAGGGATGTGTGCCAGAAGAAAAGCCACATGAGGACACAGCAAGAAGGCGGGCATCTGCAAGCCAATGGGGAAGACCTCAAGAGAAACTTAACCTAACCTACCAACATCTGGATCTTGGATTTTTAACCTCCAAAACTCTGAGGAAACACATTTGTATTGTTTAAGCCATACACCCTGGGGTATTTTTTTGTAACAGCCTTAGCAAATGGATACACAGATCATAACCAAATGAAACTAAAAATACACTTCTAAATAATACATGAATCAAAAAGGAGGTCAAAAGAAATTAGCAAATATTTTTAACTGAATGAAAATGAAAACATGCATATCTAAATATGATGGGTTCAGCTAAAGCAGTGCATGGCAAGAAATTTATGCATTAAATGTTTATATTTGAAAAGAAGAAGTCTCAAATGAATGATCTAAAATTCTTCCTTATGTAATAGGAAAAAAAAGGACAAATTAAATACAGAGAAAGCAAAAGAAATTCTATAATCAGGACAAGAGCAGAAATCAATGAAACTGAAAGCAGGAAAGCCCAGAGCATCAATAAAGCAAAAGCAGTTTTTTAGGAATGAATAAAATTAATAAACTCAGTGAGACTGACCATGAGAAAAAGATGTAAATTACTAATATCGTGAACAAGAGAGGATATCACTACAGATATAAAAATTATACAGATTTTTAAAAAACAATATTATAGGAATATCATCAACAAATTTATGCCAACTTAAATAAAATGGACACTTTTCTTAAAGACACAAATTATCAAGTCTCACTCAAGAAAAGATAAATAACCTGTATTATTAGTAGTCCTGTATCTATAGGACTTCTCTACCTACAGAAGAAATTATACTTGTAGTTAAAAACCTTTCCATAAGGAAAACACCAGACACATATGTTTTTACTGATGAATTTTACCAAATATTTTAGGAAGGAATGATGCCAATTTTACTAAGACATTCCAGAAAATTGAGGGGTTGGGAATATATCATTTTATGTGGCCAGATATGCCCTAATAACAAAACCTGAAAAACACATAACAGGAAAAGACAACTACAGACTAATATCCCTCATGATTATATAGAATGTTGAAATCCTCAAGGTATGTTAGCTTGTTGAATCCAGCAAGATACAAAAAAGATAATGCATTATGACCTTACTGGGTTTATACTGGATATGCAAGACTATTTCAACATTTGAAATTCAGTCCATGTTAGTTACCATATCAACAACAACAACAAAAACAAAAACTACATGATCCAGAAAAAAGAGCAATTGTCACACTTGAACTGTAGAACCAACAATTTATCTTCAAACAAACCTGAACGATGCCAACAGAATGATAAGGAGAGCACATTGTAGACATGAAAGCAAGGCCCACGGTTGTCCCAGAAAGTTTTGTTGCTCTGCAAGAAAGAAAAAAAAATTATATAACAACCTATGATTCTCAACTATATGTTCTATAGACAATCCAGAACTCTAAATGGTTAACAGAGAAACTCACATTGTGAATAATAACTTAAATATTTCCTTCAGTTTTTGAATTTGCATTAGGTTTTTTTTCCTATATGCAATGGTTTTCATATTATCTAACTACAAGCACCTGGATATAATCATTTTTAATATTTTATATATGTATATCTTATTTTTATATTACTATTATCACATATGCTTTGTTTTAATTTATATTTTTCTCTCATATATTTTTATACCCATTTACTTTTGTTCTCTTTAAGCACTGTTTTAGCTATAGTGGGATTTGGAATTTGGGCCCGTTCTGAACATATTTGTGTTACTGAAGCATTTATGTTATTGAAATACTTGTTACTGAAAAGGAATTTGAGCCACTTGCATTTATTTGCATAGACAATTGATTTTGTCTTTCATACTTTTATTTTTATTTTTTAGTTTTGTTCATTTTGTTTTTCTTACAATTCATAATGATTCCTTGTGCTGCCTTTGTTATTATCCTGCTATCTGTTCAACATCCTAGCCCTGATTTGTCTTTAATAATTTGCAAAGAATGCATTATTTAAAAAATTCCCTTAGTAGAGGCATTTAAATTAAAAGTTGAACTTATATTTTCCCAGTTATCATCCTCAAGAATGGGGACTATTGATTTTGCCATGCAAAATAAGGAAAATTAGAGAACTTTTTCCCACTTTACATTTCCTCTGGAAAATTTTCAGATATGTTATTTTGAAATGATATTTTGCATTGTACATGATATTTTAAAGATTTGTGGCATTTATATCCTCTTTAAAAATTATATTATAAAATTATTGATACTTAAGTCTGCATTTGTGTGGGTTTAATACTCAGTACCAGCTCGTTTATAATAAGTAAAATCTTCTCCCATTATGGAGTTAGCTATTTTGTTTCCTGTTTTCAGTGGTTCTTACCTGGTTATGCCTAGGTATAGACATATACATTTTGTTAGTTTGTCAGGTAAAAGGCTAGGATTTTCAATTTAAGGACTTTCAGTGAAAGGACAGTTATTTCCTTCCATCATAACTTTTTAGTGCCTTTATTTTGTTTATTCTAGTCTAGTCAGGAAATCTACTCTTGATATTGGATTGCCACTTAATGCCCTCTTTAATGTCCATCATCCAGTTACCCCATGTTCTACCTACCTCCCCTCTAGTAACCCCCAATTTATTCCCTATACATAAGAGCCTCTTATGATATGCCTCCCTCTGTTTTCATCTTATTTTACTTTTCTTTCCTTTCCCCTATGTTCATCTATTTTGTTTCTTAAATTCCACATATGAGTGAAATCATATGGTATTTGTCTTTCTCTGACTGATTTATTTTGCTTAGCATAATACTCTCTAGTTCTATCCACATCATTGCAAATGTTAAGATTTCATTCTTTCTGATGGCTGAGTAATATTCCACTGTATATGTACACCACATCTTCTTTATCCATTCACCTGTCAATGGACATCTGGGATCTTTCCATATTTTGGCTATTATGGACATTGTTGTTATAAACATTCAGGTGCAGGTGCCCCCATTGAATCGCTATTTTTTATCCTTTGGATAAATACCTAGTAGACACTGTGATTTCTAGGTTTCAATCATGGAAGTCTTGAAGCTTTCTCTTGATCCTCTTAGAATGCTTCTTCTGGGGGAAAATTAGTCCCCTTGCAAGACACCCAGAACCCTGAGACTGCCATGCTGGAGGCATTGAAAGGTAGCCACATGAAAGCTGTAGAAGCAGAGATGACCAACTAGGCTCTGTGCTCCAACTATACCAGGCAGGAAACCAAACACTCAAGAACATAAGAAGACTTTAATTTTAAGTCAGGAAGTTGTAGGCTGATATGTGTAGTAGATAATCAACACAGAATATTAATTAATTCTTATTTCCTTTAACAACTCCTGTTTTCTTAGGAAGTAAAACTGGAATACTTTTAAGTCACTTCTTGCTGCTTCCTTCTATCTGATCCCAGCTGCAAATTATCCAGCAGAATTTTCTCCAGTTCTTTTGAGGCATACCCTCAGCAGTCTTGTCTAAATTACAGTCACCAGATTTACTTCCTGTTTTTTTTTTTAATTATTCATTTCAGCAGGATGGTAGAGATAGGGGGTTAAAATATAATACGCAATTTTCTTTGAATCCTAGAAGTTTGTCCTGACTAGTGCTTAAAGCTAATCAGGTCTTTTAAAACATTGAATCGAAATTTCTCTTGCCATTATCTAAACCTGTCCTTCCTTTCTGTATACCTAATCAAAACAGACAAAATTCTAATGAATCATTGCCAAATTGTTAGCTTTTCTTGAAAAATGAAAAAAAAAAAGAAATACTTGTAACAAAGATAAGAGCATATTCACCATCAGAGTCAAATGAGTATTTTTAAACTTTTAACTCCCTTTCCCCAAAGAGGAAGCCACTTCCTCTTGTCCTGTCTCCTGAGATACCACTTGCTTTGCCAAGTCTTTGGAAAGTTTCTATGCTAAATACCATTTAACATACAAAGGGGGAAAATCTATACATACGTGATTAATTGTGCAATATCATGACGCTTTCTTCTTCGGAGGACACTTCCCCTCCATTTAGAAAAATTTTCCAAGGTGAAGCTTGCATTTGGACTTATTTTTATTTTATCCCCCTCATTCCAGATTTCCATACCGACTAAGGCCACATGAGTATTGAGTTTTTTATAAAGCTGTTCAAAGAGAGTACATGTCAAAGGAATGTGTAATGGTTATACTATCTTCCAATATTTTCAGTGTACTTTAGATTTTTGAAATTATTAACAGCAACACTGCAAACACTTTCTTTCCAAACATACTTGTATAATGGAAGTTACCACCTCTTTTATTAAGGCAGACACCCTTAGATATTTCAGGTATGAAAACTCCTCTCTTTCTTTTTTTTTTTTTTTGGAGAAAAGGTCTTATAGAAACAAAGTTCTTTTGCTTGCAATCTCAAGAAACATAATTTTCTGTTAGTAGTTTATTACTATGACTTCAACTTAAGTGTATCTACTCAAATGCTTTTCAATGTTCTCAGAGTGATAACATTTCAAAATTAGCAAGGTTGACCCAGTGCTGGTTTGGACACTGATAAAAAAAAAAAAATGTTCTATGAAAAAGTCCTTCACCTATGAGTCACAAATAAGTAAGTGATCCTCTAATTCTTAAACCTAGACTGAACCGAATAATCTATAATGCACATAAAATAATCTCCAGAAATAATGAATTAATCTTATAAGACAATATGTTTACTCTAAAAACAAAAGTTTAAATTGCTACTATAGTTTACAAAACTGCACAATGTTGGTCAGATGAACTTCCAGTCATTAGATGAATGAGTTCTGTGGATCTAATATACAGCTTGCTAGTGATAGTTAATAATATCGTCTTAATTATTTTAACATTGGTGAGAATAATTTTCAAACGTTCTCATCACAAAAAAGCAACAGCAACTATGTGATGTGATGGAGGTGTTAGCTAACCTATGGTGGAAATTATTTTGCAAGTAAATATATCAAATCAATACACTGGACCCCCTAAATTCACACAATTTATAGGCCAATTATATCCCAATAAACCTAGAAAAAAAGCTGCACAGTGACAGGTTTTCTCATGGGCCAACTTCCTGCTGAGAAACACAGACATGGCTTTAAGTAGTTTGGAAAACAATAAAAGCATTGAGGAATGCAATTATCATCGAAAGAAAAGTCAGAATCTAACTAGATTAAAACCCTCCCCTTGATGATTCCCTCAGCTTCCCTCTTCTGTTCTTGCTTTATTTGACCCACCTGACAAAACTCCAACCCTGGTTAAAACAATTCCTCCCTCGGTCTCTCCTCATCATGCCCTGGAACACAGGAGAAAGCACACTATGCTGACCACTTTCACTTGGAAGCCATGACTACTAACCTCAAGTGGTGGTTACCAGTCTCGGCAAACCTACTGCATTTCCAAAATTCACTTATTCCCAGAGGCTTCTACACATTTTTTTCATGCTCACTCTTCTCTTTTAGAAATTGTGACACTTTCTAGTAAAACCTCACTTTAAGTAGATGCCCCTGCTTCCAAATTCACTCAGAGTGTAGAAGCAACCAGAAGAGAACATCCACAAGCTCCCACCACTGTCTGCCTACTATTTATTTATTTCTTTATTACATGCATGAACGCTGTGAGCCCAACGCCACCTTCTCCACTCATGCACTAGATCTCCAATCTATTCCCAGGTCAAGGAGATTATTCCAGCAATTTTTCCATCTTCCTTGCAGTTCTATGCTTAACCTTCCACAGAATCGTTCCCATCAGCATGGAATGACCAGATGAGATGACCTATCATGGTGGGGGGACAATTTTTATGACCCCCATCCCTATCACTTATTCCCCATTTCTCTGATCCCACTTATAGCAAGAGTTCTGAAGGGAATTTTCTGTGTTGTCTCTAATTCTACTTCTTATTCTCATTGGACTTACTCTAATCACACTTGTACTCTTACAGTCTTACAGAAACTTGCATCATCCAGGTGACCAATAACTTCTACCTTGTTAAATTCCATGGCCAATCCTCAGTCCTCAGAAGCACTTAATGTCATTGATCATTTCTTCCTTTGACAATTTTTTTGTTTCAAGTAGCTTCCAGAGCAACACTGTCCCCTGGTTTTCCTCAAAGCTCACTGTCTACTCCTTATTGTTCTCTGTCAGTTTCTCCTACCTCTGATATTTCCTCAAAAAAGCACTTCAAGGACCTATTCTCAGTCTCTGTCCTACTTATTTAGACCTACTCCTTTGGTTATCTTATACCCGGATTGGAAAGCTTCTTCTGTAAAGGTCCACAGAAAATGCTTCAGACTTTGAGTCTATGTGATCTCTGTCCTAACTACTCACCACCATTGGCACTGAACTGGAAAACAGCCATAGACAATGTATAAACAAATGGGTGTGGCTATGTTTCATTAAAACTGCTTTTAAAAAGGCAGCAAGCCAGATCTGGCCACAAGCTACACTTTGCTGATCCATGTCGTATGCCATCTGTATGTGTTAAACACTTATGGATTTATATCTCCACCCAGACCTTGCCCCTGAACTCCAAACAATCTTGTATATCTAGCATTTTTACCTGGAAATCTTTTTTTTTTTTTGCATCCATGAATCTTCTCTTCTATTTTAATGATCCAAAATTTTATAATGTTATAACCCGACACATGTTACTAGGTGCTGGACATGAAGAGGGCATTGTAAGCATATGGATATGTCTACCCCTCTTCTTAGGAAAACTTCCTAGTATTGTTTCTCTGATTTTTGAAATGTAAAGTCTCTAATATTTTCATTTCTTAAATATAAAAATGAAACATGTACACATTTAAAAAAATTAGTCATAGAACACTTTTAATAAAAATCAGCAATCCACTGCCATTGCCACCCTCACTAAGAAGCAATAATATTTTCATTGAGATATAATTGACATATAACATTATATTTGTTTTAAGTATACAACATAATGAAATATTTATACAAAAAGAAATCTCAAAGTGAATGTGTTCAAAATGGAAATCCTCATTTTCCCTCTGAGTCACTATCCCCCACCATGTTTATTCTTAATGTTGCTCAGGTCCGAATCCTTGATGTCACTTGACTCTTCTCCTTTCCTTATGCTTTTCATCTCTCATCTACCTCATCTACCCTGATGACTCAATCCAGAGATCAGCTATTCTCAATAGATCCACTACCACTGCTTTTTCTCAAGCCTTTTTCTCCTGCCCTGAATTAGGGAATTATTCCCCTATCTGGTCTTATTTCTGCCAGTGGCTTTCCTTCAGTTTATTTCCAACACAATAGCCAAGATGATCTTTTAAGAATACACATCCGAACATGTTATACCTCAGCTCAGGCTCTCCAATATCGTCCTTGCCTGTGAAGAATAATAAAGTCCTTACACAGTCCTACCAGGACTACAGGTTCCGACCACTACTACCTGTCTGATATCATCAACTCCCATCTTCCCACCCTTACTACATGCCAGCCACAATAGCCATCCCACTGTTCCTCAAATATGACAATTGAGGTTCTGTCCTTAGAACTTCACTCTGCCTTGCACATCCTCTCTTAGAGTCAGACTCTTATCTACATTCCTTTCCCTACTCAGAAAGTCACCTTGTGACTTGTGACACCTTGTGTCACCTTGGACACCTTGGACTTGAGCTTTCCTATTTAACATACCACCCAAAACAAACCTCTCTTTTTTAAATACCACTTTTTTTTTTTTTTTAGCACTTACAATCTCGATCCTACATACTCTTTATTTGGTGTGTTTATGTTCATCTTGAACAAGAATGTAAACTCCTTGAAGGGACATTTGTCAGTTTTGTCTCTCACTCTATTTCTGTCACCTAGAAAAGTTCCTGTCACAAAGGTGTTCAATAAGTATTGCCAGTTCTTGGGGTTCTTTAAGAAGAGTCAGATGATCTTTGTGGTGAGAAGACAAGATACAGATGATGCTGGTCATTGAACCCACCTTCATTTTCTTTCTATCCTTAGGGAACTTGCAGGCTACCAAAAAGTGACTCACCCATGTAAGTAGGCAGACTAACTGTACATTCAACTAACAAAGCACTAACAATTAAGGTTTAAACAGAAGAGATACAGAAATCATTTTTAAAAGATTTTGTTAATTAGATGACAAAATCATGTTTACAGACCAAAATCAACATCTTTCCAATTGAAATGGACTTTGAAATCCAACAAATCCAAGTTCAAATCTTATCGCTCCCATTTCCCAACTTTGTGATTTTAGGCAAGTTACTTTGCTTCCCAGAATCTAATTCTTTAGTTATAAATTAGGTTTAGAAATATCTCAGAGTCGTTTTGAAGATTCAGTGAGATGATGTACTGAAAGATACTACTGTGCCAGAGTTTGGTTGATTTTGTTTGTTTTCCATGTTCTCCCATAGATTGGCTTTATGTTGGGAATTGCTGGTCTGTGATGTCTCCCCAGGCTTTAAAAAAACAAAAAAGCAATTCAAACAAAACCACCTCTTTCTTATATCTTCATCAACCTGAGAATAGTGTGGCAGGTAAGGGAGAAACATCTTTATCATGTAATATTAATATTTAATTAAATAGCAAAATTTCAAGAGCCAATCAGCAGTATTATTAATCTTGGGAGTATTGACTTTCTTTCCCTGCTTCACAAGCATTCATAGATACACCCAATGACACCGCCTCACAAATTGTTAATTTCCACTTGAAGTATACCATACCATGTTGACATAATTGGCCATTTCAAACACCCTCTTTCTTATTTCCTTTGGATCTTGATTGTACTTTTTAAACTGAAAAAAAAAAACACAAACAAAAAAGCCAACTATGACAAAATATGGGCACTGTCAGAAATGAATATAATTGGAAGGTAAAAAAAAAAAGGAAACTTAGTTTTTTTTACTTCTCAGTGGTTATAATTAACAATCAGTTATAAAAGTTGACAGTTAAAAGATAGAAGCAAAATGCTGCCTTTGGATAAATTAAAGTACTTTCAGAGTAGAGATGATGTTTTACCCCTGAAATAGTAGCTCAGTAAAGCTCTAAGGAATTATTAAATATATTTCCATTTAAATGCCATGGTTTCATAAGCTGTGCAGAATTGGTGCAAGCAATAGCTTATTCATATATATATACATATATATATATGAATGACAAATGAAAAGTGCATGTAGTATAATGAGAGGCCAAGCTTTAGGGCCTGAACAAATTAACTTATTCATATTATCATAAAGCAAAGCTTTCCCTTTTGAGATCATATAGGTGAACCTTAGATTTCCAATATTTGAAAATGCATTCTTGTAAAATAATATAAACAATGAATATTATCCCCAAAAAATACTTTTTCAGAAGATTCCACTCATCAGTCTTATACATTTACCATTTCCTGATGAGGATAAATTCTAACTTAACAGTGATTTAACTGCTTAATAAAAGACAAAATGAGAAAGGAATTTAACTGGAAACTAAATTTGGAGACAATAATAGAGGATAAAATGCAAAAAATTCACTTTATGCATAGGTATACATTTCTGAGAAGGAAAAATCCTATCAGTCTAATTATATGTCAAATTTCCTAGGATCAGAACAATTCATAAAAAAGAATAGCTCATATTCATGATTTTTCAAAACTGATCCATATATTTAATATTTCCCATAATTAATACATGTAGAAGGGGATTTTGAAAGACATATTTATCTGTTATAATTACCTCACTATTATCCAGGACCAAATAATATTCTATGTATTTCTTATGTTCCAAACCCTTCTGGTCTTTTGACTTCTGTAATAAATATAAAAAAGAAAATCACTAAAACAGCATCATTCTCCTTGAGAGTCATTCTTTTATTTGAAAAGTATAATTTTAGAAAAGATTGGTTGATATCTGGCAATAAAAGAAAACAACATTATCATTTTAACTCTTAACAAGCAGAATTAGCTATAGACAAGGTTCGGTATATCAGAGCTAAAGGGACATGAGCAATATTCTAGTCTGACTCTTTCATTTTGGCAGAACTTAAATGATTGCACACCTAACTAATAGGTGTGCTTGAACTAAAACCAAAAGCTTTCAGATTTTTTGAACAATGGGTTTTCTCCACTATGCTGCCCTGAAATAGAAAAACTCTGACTTCAGCAACCTCTTAGTGTTTTCTTGTTGTAGTTGTTGTTGTTGTTGGTAGTGGTGGTGGTGGGTTTAAGCAGCCTTTATCCCTCTCCTAGTGAGCACCCCTTTCCTTAGCAATGGTGCAATGCCCAGAGCCATCATGGCACCCAGTCTGCTCTTTTCTCCTCAGGCAGAGCTGGATCTCTTTCCCACATTCCAAGCTTCCCTATTTTCTGTTCCTTTTTCTCCACAAAACAAAACAAGACAACAACAACAACAACAACAACAACAAGAAAAGATACATTTCATAGTGGATTGTTCCATTGAAAAGTAGCAGATACATTATTCATACTAAATAATAAACTATCAAAGTTTATTATGTTGCATTTCTGGAAGGGCTTGTCTTTTTTTTTTTTAATTTTATTTATTTATTTGCAAGATAGAGAAAGGGAGCATGAGTGGCGGGAGGGGTAGAGGGAGAGGAAGAGAAAGAATCTCAAGCCGACTCTGTGCTGAGCATGGAGCCCGAGTCAGGGCTCAGTCGCACAACCCAAGAAACCAAGTCTGATGCTTACCAGACTGAGCCACCCAGGCACTCAGAAGGGGTTGTCTTTTAACAGATAAATAAGCTTCCATTAGCAAGAACACATTACTGAAAGTAGACTTTAGGTGTAGTCCACTAGCTAAACACTTCCCTCCCAGCCTCCATTGAAGCAGCTATTCATTAGCTTTTACTGGACACCAGGGGTGCTAAGAGTAAGGCAGTGAAACAGACTTGGTCCATGGGCTTAAGGAGCTCCCACTAGGCAAACAGGAATAAGTAAATCAGGTGGTGATTAGTGCTGTGAAGAGGAGTAAACAGATACTGAGTGCCGAGGTAGTTATATCAGAATAGGTGGTCAGGGAAAGCTATAAGGGGTTGGCCATACAGCAGACAAATTAATGAGAATGAGAAATCAGGCAAGGGAAGATAAATTGGAAGATAACTCCAGCAGAGAAAAGAAATGAACAAAATGATGGTGAAGTGAATTGATATTGGCATGTTTAAAGCACAGAAAAATTGTCTGTGTTTGTCAGAACATAATGGGGGAAGTTGTCCGTAGGAAGGGAGTTGAAGGAAAGGAGATTACAGAGGGAAGTGGGGCCCTAAGCTTACAGGGATTTGCAATTCACTGTCATCCCTCCTCTATTTGACCTCCATATATTAGAGGCCCTCATAAAATCTCAGCCCTGGGTCCCATTCTTTATCTACACATTCTTCCTCAGTAATCTCCTCCTGTGTTATGCCTTCTTTAAATAGGAACGCTGCACTAATTACTATCAAATGCGTATCTCCAGCCTTGGCCTCTCCTCTAAAGGCCAGACTGTTACAATTAATGCCTATTTCATGCATCCATTCAAATGTCTAATACCATAAACCTAACACGGTCAAAATAAAACTACTGATTCCCAAACCTCAAACAAAACCAGCTTCTCCCTCATTCTCCCCAGCTCAGTTAACATCACCACCATTCATCGTTAGCTCAGGCCCAAATCTAGAAATTATCCTTGATTATTTTATCCTTCATCTCTAGGAGTGAGTTCTTAGTGGGCTCCTGGTATCATATCACTGGTGGAATTTAAATCCACAGCAAACTGAACCCAAAAGAGATTTTCTTTTGTTAAGACAAATTCTGCCCAGTGCTTGTGGATGATCAAAACATTTAGAAGAGATGACTGGATATAAAGCATCCCGTGAAGAAAATGAAAGCAATTATGGCAATGACTCCCTATGGTTTCAAAAAAGCCATATTCATTTTTCTTCTGTGACTCGAAGGTAAACTCATATATCTAAGAATATCCTCAGTTCCTCTTCATGTATCCCACCTTTATTTTTGCTCACTGTTACATCCCAAGCACCTATGGAAGTACTTCAAGAAAGAACTATTGAATGGGTTCATTCATAAAGACAGCAGGATATTTTATGTGAAAGTAATAATACTTCATACCTTTGTTTTATGTTGTGGTATTGTCAAACTTGCCTGTTCCCAGAGGGCAAGCATTATATTCATATTTCTTTTTAACCTTGGCACATTGTTGTTAATAATAGTTAATCCACAAATACTTATTAAATAAATCATCAATGTACCACAAGGTTTTAGTGTCTCTATAGCCTACTATAGTCCTAGTAATTCAACCAAGACTATAAAGTTTCTGTTAATTGTAACTACTAAGACTGGAACCCAGGACAGCCAGGACAGGATACATGAAAGCACTGCAAATAAAATATGAAAGTATGCATACCACCAGACTGGTGGCAGGTAGAACCATACTCTGCTGAGATCCGCGTGCCCGTAGTATGTCATCTGTCCCACAGGTGCTGTTAGTCTTTTCCTCTGGATCATAACTGAAGAGTGCATGTTCCTGTCCATCCTGATTTGTAGGGCTTAAAGGTTCAATAAAATATTTTTGATCTCCCTGACTGAAGTAGCCCCTGAAAAACATGAGAATCCTGGCTTCTTAAAAAATATTCCTGCTTTTGGGTGCTATAGACTTACAGACTTCAAAAAATTTCCAATACCAAATAATTTCAAGTTCATGGCAGTAGAATACAGTGTAGCTTTGCAGCTAAAGATTCACTTAGAGATGATCTAAACTTAGTTTTTCTATGAGAAATCGGATTTCTTGGGGAGAAGTGACTACTATAATGTTACATAGCTAACTTATATCAGTGCTGATGCTAGAATGGAAACTTCCTCATTCTTACCCAGTGTTCTTCCAATCTAATACCTCATCCGCTCTAAAGCTGCACTGAAAATGAAGACCTTGGGGTCTTATAAATAAGACTTAAGATTCTGGGTCTATAACTTCTTAGATGTGATACCATGGGAAAAATACATAAACTCACACTGCCTTAGTTTCTCAAGACCTCTATAACACGAGAATAATACCTACCTAATAGAATGATTATAAAGATTGAATGACATGTAAAGCACATGATCAACAAATATTACCAGCTTCTTCTCAGTTATCTCTGCTGAAACGCCAAGTTAAGATACATTTAACCAACAGTTAGGGGGCACCCATTATTCATTAGTCCTTGGATTAAGGGCAGACAATCAGAGAAAATAGTCATGGTTTCTCCTTTTATGGAGCTTATAGTAAAATGAGGAAGATGGATGTGGATCAAATAGTCACATTCAACCCCAAAACAATATAATTATATGACAAATATGAAATATTCATAATTACAGATAACTGCTAGGACAAAAAAGCATAAAAGTATATAATCAGAGACTGGTTAAGTGTATACAGAACTAGAAGACAAGGATGCATATGAAATCCTTTATGGTCTGCATAAAGGATCATGGTAGTTTGGACTAGGAAGTGGCAGTAGAGAAAGATTAGAGTGAATAATCCCAATGAATATTTAACACATCTAATCAGTAGGGCTTGAAAATGAATCAAAAATGGGTAGCTGAGAGGCAAGATATCATCAAGGAATCTAGGTTTCTGAATTGGGCATGTGGTTAGTTGATCATATCATTCACTGAAATAACCAACACTGGAAAGACATGAAATTTGGGAGAAAAACATTATTGATGTGAGGTTTATTAAGATTGAGATTTCATTAATCTATCCATATATGGAAGAGATATGGATATATGGAAGACAAAATTAGATAGTCAAGTCTGGGCATCAGAAGAAATATCTCACTGTAGACAGATGCCTGGGGAGTTATTAACATACAGAAGAAAAGCTGGGCATAGATAAGACAAGCCGAAGAGAGAGTTTAAAGAGGAAAGGTGGAGAAGAGCACCTATTCCTTTAAGAGTTGGACTCAAAAACCTGTATTTTGAAAATAAGCAGACAAACAAACAAACATACCTCTACAAGCAATTCAGATGTGTGAATTTAGAAACCACTATCAAGAGAAACTGTTTCCTTCAAATTTCAAAATCTTTGAACCCTTAGGATTTATATTTAACTACAGGATAATTCATTCTATTTGAGATTCCTCAGGTTTATTAAAAACACACACACTCACCCCATTACCACAGGTATACACAAACAATTTATGAAGCCTTACCTTAGTCCCCTACATGTGCTGATGCTAGCATCTGAAACTTTTTCATTAATGATGTGTCCTTGGTAATAACAGTCATCCTAAAGAAAAGAAAAAGGGAGATTTGTAAGAGAAAGTACATGTTTTTAGAGACACTGCTAAATTTGAATTTGAAAGCTTGAAATAAGATCAATGTTTTCAAATAATTTTATGCTGAACAATAGTCAATTTAGAGATGTAAAAAAATGGTTAAGAAGCTTTTTATGGTTAAAATCTTTAATATTTGGTTAATTAATCCAATGCTTAAAGAACATTTACTAAATAAATATTGGTATTGCAGAAAAAGGATAATGTGAATGCAGTCTGGAAGAAACAAACTTATAGATAGAAGTTTAAAATATGAGCCCCCAAAATATCAGACATTCATTCTTTCCCTTGGCTGATTACTCATGGTTTTCTTTCTTCTTTCTTTCTTTCTTTCTTTCTCTTTCTTTCTTTCTTTCTTTCTTTCTTTCTTTCTTTCTTTCTTTCTTTCTTTCTCTTTCTTTCTTTCTTTCTTTCTCTTTTCCTTCCTTTCTTTCTTTCTTTCTTTCTCTTTCTTTCTTTCTTTCTTCTTTCTTTCTTTCTTTTTATTGTCTTCATGGAAGTCAACCCTTTCTTTCTTTTCTTTAGCCACTGTATAGTTAGCCGCCATATAGTGCATCATTAGTTTTTGATGTAGTGTTCAACAATTCATTAGTGGCTTGTAAACCCAGTACTCATCATATGTGCCCTCCTTAATACCCATCACCCAGTTACCCCATCTCTCCAACCTCGCCCTTTCTGTAACCCTCAGTTTGGTCCCTGGAGTCCAGAGTCTCTCATGATTTTTCTCCCTCTCTGATTCCTTCCCATTCAGTGTTCCTTCCCTTCCTCTGTGGTCCTCCCCACTATTCCTTATGTTGCACATATGAGTAAAATTATATGATATGAGTGGATAAAGAAGATGTGGTTCATATATACAATGGAGTATTTATTACTCAGCCATCAGAAAGGATGAATACCCACCATTTGCATCAATATGAATGGAGCTGGAGGAGATGATGCTAAGTGAAATTAGTTGAGTAGAGAAAGACAATTATCATATGATTTCACTCATCTGTGGATCATTATTTTTTTTCTAACACCTACAAGCTCTTTCAAATGAGTGAGTTATCAGGATTATGTTTTTATGTCTTAATTTATTCTAAGAGTTTCAGCAGACTAAGTTAGTGTGACATCTCCTTCTCCATCTGGAGAAAAATGTCCAATCCCAGAACTTTTCCATGTGGATGTACTTTAATCAAGCACACCTTTCCGCTTTGAGACAGATGAGGTATTGACATAAATATCTGTGCCATCACTATGAAGAGAATGTTTGAAGGCCTGCCAATAGAAAAATGGAGCTCAGAAAGATGGCAATGATAAAATACTCTTCACATGACTTCACACAACCACCTTTCTAAATTAGAGTCAAGAGTAAAAAATATTTAAGGAAAACAGAATTCTATAATTCTGTTATTGAGGAAATAGTCTTGAGTTGGAGACACTATATAATCTAGAGAGGTGATCGGTGCTGACTAAGAACACTAGATGTATTCAATTCTTCACTCTTCTAATGAAAATGAGAAGCCCCTCCCACTCTCTTATAGGGACTCCCTGAAGGGAAGCCCACATAACCAAGGGGTTACCATGGTTGTCAAGGAATGACTTTGTTCTTGTCAAAATGTACAAATATTAGGGAGTGTATTAAGAAATTACTACTTCTGGAAAAAGCACCAACATTGTAAGCGCTGTTTCATTTTCACTATTTGTCTGGCAATGACACTGCCCTTGGGTGTACTGGTCACACACCAAATGACAGTGATTCTAGGATACTGTTTTACCATTATTTGTGGGCTTGTGGTGACCTCCTCTCCAGTGGAATTATAATGTGTTTCCATGTAACCTGGTGCAAGGAGATCCCTGGAGGAAAAAAAAAAAGGAAAAAATTTCATGGTTACTCTTGCTAATTGAAAAGTGCATTGGTCAAAGTGAAAGCTTCCACTGGTAGGAAAGCTTTTAACTCCTAAGCTCCTTCTCCTTAGGAAAGGAGAAGGAAAGCTTTTAATTCCTAAGCTCCTTCTCCTAAGCCCTCAAGTGGAGTCCAACCATGAAGAGGATGCTTACAATGCAAAGACTGAGGGAGCTGAGTCTTTGGCATTCCTGAGTAGTGTGGACATTCCTAAGTAGTGTGGAACAGTGTCTGCTTTCTCATCAGACTTTGATACTTCTCTGAAGGGAGACTTGAGGAAGGAATGGCACTGAGAAGGGTAGAGTTGATTTAAAAAAATGACTGAAAAGAACAGCGTTCCTATCAGTTTGCGATAACTACATTTTCACCCAGTCCTTTTCAGTTCCCAGGGACTGCTAACAACTGTAGCAGTGGCAAGTTTCGTGGTCATTGACTTGCATTTGGTAGGTAGGGCCCTTCTGGCATCTTCACTGAGCTTCTCAGAATTTTTTCAATTACCTGAGAGCACATAGGAGTCTGGATATACCTTTTAAAGAGGCAGGGCAAGGAGAAAAGGAAGTAACTAGTATATGTTAAATGCTATCTCTGTGCCAGCCACTGAGTTAGACACCTTACATGGATCATTTGTTTAATCATTTCTGCAGTCTGATAAGGCAAATATGACTTGCTTCATTTTTCAGATAAGATTACATAGTTTGAGGGGCAAAAGATCATATCTAAAGTCTGCCTAAAGTCCACACCTATACTATTTCTATTCTACCACACCATTTCCAAAGTCCAGGCAGATGTGATTTTTGCAAATGGCAATAGTTTATTTGAGGAAAAAAAATCTTGCTGTACTATATAGAATGGTTTAGGGATTGAAAGAGCTTGAAAGCACAGAATTAAGGAAGAAAACTACTTTTGAAGTCATTGAGATATAGGATCATCAAGATCTGAGTCAGAATCGAGGCAGTGAAACTTGAAAGAAATGTTGAATGTAACTGACCTGAATGCGGAGAATGAAAGAACAAGAGGACAATATAATGCATGAGAAAGTGGGAGTGTTAGTATGTAGCTAGATGGAAGGAGCACTGGTGTGGGCATCAGGAAAGCCCTGGTTTTACCACTAACTTGTTTTTAGTCCTTGAATTTATTTAATTATACATGTCTTTTTTTGTTTTTCCTGATGGAAATAGTTGCAAATTGTTTTAAACCCTAATCTTTGAGTATTAGAATAATAAACCACAATAATGTAGGGAGAGATTTAAAAATCTGTCTTTTTCACAGAATTTGATACAATTGTATCTCATGCATTATATTTTATTACTAGAAGGATCCAAACACTAGTAAACTATTATTTTACTCAATGTGTTTCTACTACTTTGGTAGAAACAAATATTCACCAACCCCCCTCCCCCAGGCCAGTTGAGAGAAAAAAACTTATTAGCAGAGGTTTTCGAGAGCCTTAAGCAGAAAAAGCCTCAATTAGCACATTTTCCACATACTAACTTGCTGTCGGTAAGGATATATCAGAAGTAAAAATACTTACTTGTTTTTTTTCAAGTAAAGCACTGCAATTTTCCCATTAACTGTAATTTTATACTTCAATTCAGTTTCAAATTTTTCCTGCAAAAATGCACAAACATTTACTGGTCATTATAAACACACACAAATATTCATTTGGCTGTGTTCATCTTTTTAATCATTGGCAAACAATGCCTACTTTCTTTTTTTTAATTTTTTAAATTTTTTATAAACATATAATGTATTATTAGCCCCAGGTACAGGGCTGTGAATCGCCAGGTTTACACACTTCACAGCACTCACCATAGCACATACCCTCCCCAATGTCCATAACCCCACCACCCTATCCCTCCCCCACTTCCCCCAGCCCCCCTTAGTTTGTTTTGTGACATTAAGAGTCTCTTATGGTTTGTCTCCCTCCCAATCCCATCTTGTTTCATTTATTCTTTTCCTACCCCCCAAACCCCTCACGTTGTATCTCCACTTCCTCATATCAGGGAGATCATATAATATTTGTCTTTCTCCAATTGACTTATTTCGCTAAGCATAATACCCTCTAGTTCCATCCATGTCATCGCAAATGGCAAGATTTCATTTCTTTTGATGGCTGCATAGTATTCCATTGTATATATACACCACATCTTCTTTATCCATTCATCTCTTTCTTTAATGGTAGTCTATATAGTTTATATACCAAATGTCTGCTTCTAGCCTATTTTAACAAATCAAACAACTCTGCCATCAGAATAGACAAATTACCTGAGACCTTTCTATCCATCCATCCATCCATCCACCGAGCTATTTTATAAATACTACTTGAGTGTTAGTTATATGCATGACTCTACTCAGTTCTGGAAATTCAACTCTAAGCAAGAAAAATTGACCCCTACTGTCAGAAAGCTTATAATCCTGTGGAAAGACAGACAATAAAAGTGATTTATGTTGCATGATAAGGGATATAAATATGAGTGCAATGTAAGCTGTCTAACATCTTAAGGTCTGGAAAGGCTTTCTTGAGGAAGTACCATGCAAGCTGAGATATGAATTAGCCAGGTGAAGCAGAGTGGGGAACTTATTTGAGAAGAAGGAATAGTATGTCCACAGACCCAAAGACCTCAAAGACTCCTACTGATGATTTTTGGTCTGAATGTATTCTCATGGCTAACTGGAGGTCAGAATGTGGACAAAACAACAGGTGTATGTATTCAAAATCAGAAAGAAATTAAGATCTCAAGACTTCAGAAAGAGAAAATATCACCTCAAGCAAACCTCATGTGGAAAAGGAGAACCGTTTCGAGATTTAGATATACAAAAAGAGATACAGAAGACTGTATGTTAGAGAAGATGCTATTGAGTACTAAATTCTAATTTTGTTCTATAAAACAGAGTTATTAATCATTGTTACACTCAAAATCTAAAAATTCACTGGGGAGTGCCACAACATTGTTATTAAAGAGATCTAAGTATAGCCGACCAAATATGATGGAGTGCTATTTCCTCTGCTGGGCTGCACCTAAGGCCAAGCTTTTCTTCTCTTCTCCCTCTCATAGCCAGAGCAATACCTGAGCTTAGCAAGGGACAATAGTGCATTAGACACTTTAGGTCAGGAGGATTGTGCAGGGATGCGCCATCTCCAAGGTCAGTTGGAATGGCCCCATTCCCTTTAAATGGTTAGTTATTAGAATCCTCTCTGATGCCAAAAGCTCCTGGGTATAAGTATCCTATACTGCGGGTCTAGATGAGGAGAGGATGCTGTAATTCACTTCATGTTGATGAATAACAGCAGCTGGGGGGAAAAAAAGGCCTGAGGTTTGAAAATCAGTTATGGGGAATCATTATAACCACTTATCACTTAGATTTAAGAAAGGCCAGATGGAATTAAAATATTAGGAGGATAGCAGATATAATCTTCTTCCCAGAAAAGCCTTCCAGATACCTATTTTCTGTTAGCAATGGATTTTAGTGGATTTTCACCTAAAATGTTATTTGGAGATTATTTTAGAAAAGATTATTGCTTTTGGACTGGAAGTTTTAGCCAGCACTGGCATAGATTATAGATGAAAGGAAACAACAAGGAAGAAAACAAGTCTTTATGAAAGAGGTTGCACTGGGTGATGTGATAACTTCATGTCCCTAGTAGAAGTCCATGGTAGAGAGAAATGCCTGCTAAAAAATAAATAAATAAATAATAAATAAATAAAAAATAAATCTATCCTCCTTGTGTGCAACCTGAGTCCTGAACTACGAATGAGGAGAGGAAAGATGCACTTTGATTTGGAGAGTATCCACTAGAAGGCAATGATTCGGAGCCCAAAGAGTAGGGTTAGCTGGTCACAGGGACATAAAAATAAATGTCCTCCAGGAAAAAATGCCATAAATAAGGTAGAATGGGTGGACTGGGAAGGTCACTGCCCTGGATGTTCCGGGGATGGAAGAGAGAGTGTAAAGTCACAATGATGCCCATAGGCACACAGCAAATAGCAAATCACACCCTAGAAGTCCCAGGAAGGCTTAATGCCAATAGTACAACTGTTGTCATAACATACAGTAAGCTGAGGCCTCCAGGAACCCTGGCAGACCTAGCTCAGGCCTGAAATTGTTCCCAGTGTAAGGGAGGCATTGTGTTGCCAGATATTCTGTTTGGGGCATTGGCCAACAGCATGGCAGTTTTGGCCTCTAAGGAAGTGTGTGTGCTCTGGAGGCAGAATCCTGGGAAGATAGGGATTACCTTTGAAGTTAAGTTCCCAACATCAGGGACCTTGATTAAGTACTTGTCAAATATCCACCTATGCAAATATATGGACTACGTACTCCAGTAGTATCTATGCAGTAATGTACAATGTACTAATTCATTCATTCAAACATTTGTCCATTTACTTATTTATGCAACAAATACTTAGTTTTCCTTACGCCATGCATATAAAATATAATTAAAAATATGATAATGAATATGGCATTCACGTTTATACTCTGGCCTTAAATGTCCACTCCAGAAAATGTTTCAAAGGATCATTTCATTCTAGCTCAAATCTTAAGTAATTGGGCCAGGTGCAATGAAGTCAGAAGGATGAGGCCAGGCTCTTGGAATAGCAGCCAAGAAAAGCCAGTGCTTCTGTTCTCCGGACCAGTAGAGGGCACAGTTGCTTAATAATAAGTATACAAGTCCTCCACATCTCCACTGCCTTGAGGAGTGAGTAATCTAGACTAACTAGATCTTGTAACATCTATGGGATGCAGAGATCCCTTCAGTCACATGCAATCCAAAGTCTAGATGTTTCAAGTAATTGCTAATCAATTCTTTGCACAAGGAAGACCAATAGTCTCAACCAAAAAGCCTCGAGGATAACTTCTAAGAACTTGGCTTCTATCTATAGGACAGTGTTCTTATTGGTCATAAGCTGTACCTGAACAAAAAGAGGAGATTCTATGTCAAATGAATGTGCCTGCTGTGTGGCAGATAAGGATGTCCTGGCTTCTCTAACCTATGCTAATGAGACAAGTGTGATGTGGCAGAATTCAGTCACCCTGACAGAGCAGAACTGAAATATCAGACATGCAGCAACATGGGACTTCACATGCATAACCAAAATGGTGGCTGGAATCAGAGACTACACAGGCTTAGCCCTAGATGATCAGAGGGAACTAACAAAAGATACATGGTGTGATTGTTGCATAAAATACAGGACATCAGTTAAATCTGAATTCCACACAAAGTGAATAATTTTCTAAATATAACTATGTCCCATACAATATTTGAGATTACTTACACTAAAAAAAAAAAAAAAGCATTCATTGTTTATCTGACATTCAAATTTAACTGAGTATCCTATATTTTTACTTGCTAAATCTGGTTGTTCTATACACAGTAGAATCTATAGCAGGAGCTGTAAGAATGGAAACTAGACATCTGTGACCAGGGTAAGGAGGTGAAATTCTGAAATACCAGAACATGGAAACCACTGGCTGGGAAAAAGTTCAATGCTTTTGGAATGTTTCTTTAGTCAGGAATTACTTTTAATGGTTCGATCACATTCTTGCTGTGGGGTACTTCAAAGGCATCAAGCAGCCCCTGAGAACATCAATGCCGCTTGAATACTAAAAGGCAAACATGTCTGAGTTACACATATTTGTGAGATGGCTGAAATCACTCAGTGCTTCCTTTCCATTCTTCATGGCTAACATGTTACCTTCTACTGTCTACAACTGAAGGCAAAAAGGAGAAGTTTGCAAATATATTACACAAAACTCTAAAAATAAAAATAGAATTAAAGCGTTCAAGTCATTTAGGCATATTTTCCTTCCAATCTCTATGGAATTTGGTGTGATGGTTTTATTTCTTTCAAAAAATAAAACTGACATGTTTTGTAGGATTTTTTTGAACCAAAAGGCATTTATGAAATGCTTTTCATAGGACAGGGGTTGAGAGACGAGGGTGAAGGAGGGGAAGAAGCATGTTAAAGACGTAGAAAATACTTTTTTCCCTTTTTTTTTATTTGAGCTTGGCCATTTTAAACCAGAAGAGAAGATTAAACTTACACTCACAGACATGCGGGAACAGGTACACACACACACACTATAGTAAAATCAATATTAAAAGAAAATCAAGAGCCAAATGGTGTAACACTGACCATTCCTGAAGCATGGACTGTTCTATGTTGACTTCACAAAGAATATAAGATGGACTGGGCATTACATAAATGGAGAACATGTGATGTATGGAAAAAAATCCTTAAAGGGCAGATAGGTAGCAATAAGTACATTATTAAGAAAGGTCTTGAGAATACCAAAGCTGACTAAAAAGGAGGTTGTACCAAGAAGCAGAAAGAAAACAAAATGGCTTAGTAAACCATATCATCAAGCAAAAGAGCCGAGATGGTGAGTCCTAAGAAGTGAAGTGGGGTGAGTTATATAGGTAGTGTCATAATTTTGAGCAGGGACTTAATAATTGTATTCTGCTTTGCTTTTCAGTAAGTTTTCTCAAAATAGCCATATAAGATAAGCATGACTATTATTATCTCAGTTTAAAGACACAGAATTTGAAGTTCACTTACATCTAAATTTATACAGAGAAAATTAACAATGTTATGATGTTGAGTATAAATAAGGCTTTTCAATTCAGATCCTTTACCCTTCCACTATGGATCAGGAAAACCTAAAGTTCATACAACCAGTTAATCGAGTTGTGGACTAGACAAATAATGTGTTTGGGATAAATATCCAGCACAATGCATCAACATCCATGTACTCAACTTTCCAAAAATTAAGATTGATAATCTATGAGATACCAGTAACTACTCTATGGTTTTTCATCAAATTAAGTTGTTCAAAAGCTTAAATTTGTTTTAGAAGGAAATTACTTTATAACTACGATAAAAACACTGGATGTGTATTCAAATTTTCCTCAGAATATTCAGTGACAAAATGTATCTGGCATTTAAAAATTTTTTTTATTTACTTATTTGTTAGAGAGAGAGTGCACACACAAGCAGAGGGAGTGGCAGGCAGAGGAAGAGGGAGAAGCAGGCTCCCCACAAAGCAGAGAGCCCAACACAGGGCTTGATCCCAGGTCCTGGGACCTGAACCAAAGACAGACGCTTAACCAAATGAGCCACCTCGGTGTTCTGATATTGACATTTTTAAGAGAATGCTGGAAACCATTTAAGGGGACTATACTGATAAGGAATCCAATGCATAAAGATCCCATTCAAATTTAACAGAAACATTTTGTTGAAAGAATTATTTTGATAAACAGGGTCTACTATGGGTTCTGCTATTATAAATGTTTGCTTTAGAAGAAATCATCTTTTAGGAACCTTATCCAGTGGTGGGGGTATGTACTCCCAGGGAGTGGCATCTCACAATATTTCTGCAAGTTATTATCTATGTCTCATTTATCTATATTTTTCCTGGCTCCCAGCAGAAAACTTCTGGGTGCAGGTATTTAGAAAATTGCTGAATGAATCACTGTGTTTTAGCTTTTATCATTTGACTAAGAATGTGTTTTTTCATTAAGTAATAAGAACTATACAAATTTTAATAAATTTCTCTTTAGAAAAGACAAAGGTAAATTTTATGTTTAACCATAGTAATTCATTCTAGCTTAATTTTCATCTACAATATTTTGTTTTCTACTTTAATATTTATGGTTTTGTTTGTATGTGTGTACATAGACACATAGATGATCAATCGATAATAGATAAAATAAGTTGTATCTAATCTCTTTGGAAGAATCATAAATTACCATAAAAGTATTAAAGTTTACTTTTTGTGTGACCATGGGCAGTTTATTTCAATTGTCAGAATCCCAATCTTCAAAATGAGACTGATAATAGAATACTGGGTTATTGTGAAGATTATTAAAAATAAGGTCAAACAACAAATGCAAATAAATGTCTATAATTAAATATGTATATATATATGTTATAGTTATATATCTATGTATATATCATATGTAAAATATGTATGTATATTTTTTCAAGATTCTTCATTAAGTCAAAAGCTGTACCTGTTGTTCTGCCTCCTTGACTTCTCTTTTATGTACTGGATGGAGTCTTCTGGGATAAACCACTTCATAGTTCTTTACTCCAGGGAGTTCTTTGATAGCATTTACTGAGGGGGAAAAAAAGTAAGAGAAGATTTAGCAGAGCAGAACAAATAAACAAGATGGTTGGAAATAATCAGACTTATTGCATTTCTGATGAATAATGTTATATACAGAGGTTTAACTGAGTTATGTCAGAGAATTATTTAAGTGTAGAGATAGAAAAAATTAGAAGTCCGCACTCCCTTTCAAATCTTGAACCTATATCTTCAAATATTTCCCCACTGAAAGTGTTTCTCTATTTGGTAAAAATATTTCTTCGGGATTTTTTCATCTCTCTTTGCTACCTTGAATCCTCTATAGAGGAATATAGCAAAGAGTACAGACAAAAAGCTAGTACAGCAAGGCAAAAGCCAAACTAATCTTCTAAGATACTAATCAATGTCAGCATAATTGTGTAGAAGTACTCTGAAAACTACAGTGTTACAAAAATGAAATAACTAATGCATGCCATTTCTGACTCTAATACTTTTTCTTATATTTTCCAATTGTAATGAATGAAACTAAGACAGTAAGAAAAGCTCCAATATCAGCTGCATAGAATGCTTGGCTTTTGCAATACAGATAAACTTTCATTTTTGCATACAAAGCATGAAAAAATGAAAATTAGAGAAGTAAAATCTAAAACATTTTTACTGGTCTGGAAGGAAAATATTTGAGCCTGCAGTCATATTGAAAGAGAACTGAATAGTTATCTCATCCAAATTTCTATCTATATTTTGAATTGTTGTTCCAAGTTATTTTTTTAATTTTATTTTTTGAGAGAGAGAGAGCATGCAGGCACGCACGAGCAAGCACAGAGGGGCAGAGGAAGAGGAGGAGAGAGAATACCAAGCAGATTCAATGCTCAGCACAAGCCCAACTAGGGGCTCCATCTCAAGACCCTGAGACCATGTTCTGAGCCAAAATAAAAAATCAGATGCTTAAACAAACTGAGCCACATAGGCGCCCCTCCACAAGCTATTTTTCAGAGGAATTCAGAGTTTTCCCAATGCTAACACTTAATTTTCTATTTTCTCTTTTATTTGCTCACTTGATCAGTCCTTGCTCTGGGTAGAGTAATGGGTAAGGAAATGTCAATAAACAAGTTCTTTGGTTTTTCAAGGGGCTACTGGTCTACCCAGAATATAGATGCAGTAGGAACTAAACTGTGACCCCAGCCTAGCAATTGACTAACACTATGGACTGGAAAGGCTTCAGTTCTCTGTCTCATGACTAGAGTGCTCTCTCAAGATAATCCCAGCTCATTAAATTACTCAACCCTAAATTCTATAGTAATATAAATTTGCTATTATTGTTGATCTTTTAACAAATACAAGTGAGTATTTCTTTTGTTAGTCATCTTGGATGACTTGTACATTTATCCCAATGATGCTCCAGAGAATATTTATTTTAAAAACAGAAGCAGAATCTTTAAAAAAATTGTAGTTATGTCTTTTTTTTTTTTTTTTGTCATTTTAGGATGGCTAAATGCACTTGACCTTTCAAGAGCTATTTACTTCTAACTTCGAAGAACAGGAAAAGCAATGAGCTAAAAACTCACTAGGTCAAAAATGAACAATTAAAGGGATGGAATAATTTCTCTTTCACTGGCTCAAGATTTACTTTTTTAGCATTTAAATTCAATTTAATTAACATACAATGTATTATTAGTTTCAGAGATAGAATTTAGTGATTCATCAGTCGCATATAATACCCAGTGCTCATTCCATCAAGTATCCTCCTTAATGGCCATCACCTTCTTACCTCATCCCACCACTCACCTGCCCTTCTGCAACCCTCAGTTTGTTTCCTATAATAAGAGTTTTCTGTGGTTGTGATGCCTGGTTGGCACAGCCGGTTAAGCATCTGCCTTCTGACTCAGGTCATGATCCCAGGGTCCTGGGATTGAGCCCCACATCAGGATTCCTGCTCGGTGGGCACCTGCTTCTTCTCTGTCTGCCATTCCCCTCACTTGTGCTCTCTCTCTCAAATAAATAAGTTTTTTATCATTTGTCTCCCTCTCTGTTTTCATCTTATTTTTCCTTTCCTTCCCCTATGTTCATGTTTTGTTTCTTAAATTTCACATATGAGTGAAATCATATATTTTTCTTTCTCTGATTGACTTATTTCACTTAGCATAATGCCCTCTAGTTCCATCTATATTGTTGCAAAGGGCAAGATTTCACTCTTTTTGATGACTGAGTAATATTCCTGTGTGTGTGTGTGTGTGTGTGTATGCATATGTCTCAAGATTTACTCTTAAAAACATTTCAAAACACCTTAAAACCATAGATTAAACCCTAGAATACTTGAACCTTGGGTTTGGTTCTAATTTATTAACTGTTTGAACAGACACGGCAGATTAAATGATCTTTAAGGACAGTTCAAGCAGTCTATGATTTTATGCAAATAAATACAGAATTCCTCATAGTCTTTTTGAGGAAGTGATGATCATTTGGATAAATTTTTAAGTGGGTGTGATAAAATAAGTCTTATTACATCGTCAAGACTTCAAAAAGTACATAAGTTACCTCAATGACTTCTTGTTGTTACAGAGAACAGAAAATGTTACTGGGCATTTTTATTTCTATTTAATTAGTTTTTGGTAAAGGAAAATAATAACATTGTTTTATAAAAAATTATAACAAATTCAAAAATCTAGAGGAATATTATCAATCATTTTATTAACATCAAGTTGAAATGTTTATAATTATTATACTTATTTCAAAATAATAAGATGTCACAAGGTAAGAAAATTACTCTTGTCAGAAATGAACTGATGGTGTTGACACAATTCCCTGGAGCTTCTTGTAAGCCCATAATACCAAACAAGCATACCATAAGGCAACCACATGCTGTCTAGTGTATTGTGTCCAATCAATGCAATTAGTCCCATTAATATAGAGTTCATAAAGCCATATATTCACCAATGTTGTGACCAGAGTAACTCTTCTAAAAGTCCTGTATAAAAAGTGGTTTCATCCAATACACACATTATTCTGAGAGTAAATATTAGTCCAAGTTACCCTGAGGTCATAAAATAATAGCTAATCATAACTGATTCTTTTATAAAAGCAAAAAATGATAGCCCACACAATTTTCCCATTCAGAAGTGGTGAGGGAAAGAGGCCAATCCAACCACTGCAGGTTTTCTTAATATATACAACTCATCTAATGAGGTACTGTATTGACTAACATAACATAATAAAAATTATATATATACACACCCATCTCCATGATTCTAGTTAATATCTAAATCTTAATGTTTTATGAAATCAGAAATTACCAATTGACTTAAATAAGGAGCCAAGTATGTAAATTAGTGGAGAAATTTATTCCCAACTCTTTGATAGCTGAGCACTTCCCAATGACAAACAAAATTAATCAACAAATGAACCAGAGTATTTTTTTAAAAGCCTCTGGGAACCTCTCCTTTTCTTCAGTTTGAAACCAACAGACTTTCAGCTCTTTTCAAACTCTTGCAATGGAGTACATTGTCTAAGAGAAACAGATAGAATTTCTTTTAATGGCTTCAATTTTTATGAAACCAAGAAAGCTCATGAAAGAATGAGACTTGAATTATAACAAATTAGACAGCTGTTAGAAAAATAGACAGACATAAATATTGTTTGGCTCATTCATCCTTAAGGTTGATGGAAATGACACAGCCTCCTCCCAGCTGAATAACATCAGGCTAATTATTTTGAAGCCTGTGGAATAAACACAACTAACTGCCATCCAGGGATTATACAAATCTGAGATGTAACACAATATGTTTCTACTAATTCATGTAAATACTTGCTTTCTCTCTCCCACAGAACTCACACATTGGATTACTTCTGACAAGAAAAACTAGATCAAGAAAAATAAAACTATTATTTTGGCTTGGGTTAGGTAATTATTTTACTGTTTATTAGTTTTTAAAAAGTTAAAACGCATTGACAAGATTAATACAACAGGCCCTGGTATGGGTTGCTACTTTATTTTTTAATAAGTTTGGGGCAGTTTTGGAGTTTAGCCATAATGCATAATATTGGCATTTTCATTTTTGTTCAAATCTGTTCCAAACTCTTTAGAGAGTGTCTTTCCAGACTAAACACATGACATTCAGACCTGGATCAGAGTTTATTCAATATTGACCTCAGATCTGGGCTTCCCTGTATCTCCCTCAAACTATCTGGTGCTTTTAAATTTAGTGTAGTAAAAGTGAGTGCAAACATTGAGGGAAAACACATCCTAATTAAGTCTATCAGTTTGGCTAATAAGATTAAATTATAAATACTTCTGAGGGTCATCTAGTCACCTTATGAAGACAAAAAAGGATGGCTAACTTGAAACGAAATAATTTCAAAAAGTACTATATCCCCTAGATATCCTGCTGGAATATCTTGAAGACCTTTCTCTCTTGTCATTTCCCTTATATTCTCCCCTAAACAACTGTCACTTCCCTTTAACTATTTGGGTTTTTTTTTTTCCTATGATGAAATCCTATTATTTCTCTCAGGGGATTGTGAAGGACATACAAACAGCTAACCTAATTATGTTTTATTCTTTCATTTCATGTATACAGAAACTGAGCACAAGTCATGGTCTGAGTTGCATATTTTTTTTCTTTGGATTATAGGGGCAGATAAAAAGGAAGAGAAATGCAAATTCCTTTATTTTTTACATTCTGACTGGGAAATAAACCCATGTGGTAATAATATCAATGGGAATAATACCAGGATGATAGTTGAAAATACAAGATGGAAGGTAGAGAGTGGGGGTGGCTCTCTGTTCAAGGTGGAAGATAAGGGATAATTGCCTATATGAACCCCTATTCTCACAAAAGACACTGCAGAACCTCTGTTCCCACCACTAAGCCCTTGAAGATCTACAGTTTGAGGCATGATTTCTAAGGACGCTGTCTCTTGGTGCCATGTTGTGAATGCAAAGAGAGGGGAAAATCAGCTCATATACCCTTTTTTTCCCAAGATTTTATTTATTTATTTGACAGAGAGAGAGAGAGAGAGAGAGAGCACAAAAGAGCACAAGCAAGGGGAGGGGGGAAAGGAGGAATAGTCTCCCCACCAAGCAAGGAGCCCCATGCGGAACGCTGGGATCATGATCTGAGCCAAAGGCAGACACCTAACAGACTGAGCCACCCAGGTGCCCCCTTATAAACCTAATTTTACTGAAAAAGCTGTCATGTGGGTGGACTCCAGGGTTATCTATGTGATTTTGTTAATAGAGCCTGCTTGATCTTTATGCTGTTGGATAAAGCTAGTTCCCAAACAACTCTTATATTCCAACTAAGTAAAGGATCCCAAAGAATTTTTAGGGATAACACTTTTGGAGAACGTAAGGAAAGAAGATTTCTATTAAGTTTGACTCACAAAGTAGAAATTTTGAGTCAATAACTTAAATGCCTAGTACAGTTCTATATTTAATAATATTAAGTAAAACTTTCATAAGTCTGGAAAACAAATCAGGAACCAGGGATGGGAAAAATCACTTTTAGTCACAAAGTGTTGAGTGAGTGCAAGGGTGAGGAGAATTTTTCCCTCCCTAATCTTATACTTGTTGATAACCTGCTCCCGTTACTAAGTCCCTGCAAGCATTCTAAAACCAAAGAGAAGGTTTGTTATTCCCAGGTACTGAAGCTACTGTGGTGACTTAACTAAGCTCTAGAAATAGAAATAAGCTAAGGAAGTGTTGCCCAATCTAATCTAACCAAAATCTAATTGGTAGATTTCTCAGAAATGGAGAGACATGCTAGAATTGATTTATTATTGAAAAGTAAAATTCCTCTAGATTTGAATTCTTAAATTCAAAATGGAAGTAAATTATCAGCTTAAGCTTAGCAGCAAAATTGTTTTAATCAAGTAATAGCACAATGCTTTGTAATTATTAAATCGGTCAATTATTTATTTCTAACTGACATATTTATTATCACCAGTTATGGAAGGACGAAACACAAAAATGTGCACTCAAAAGGAATAGGACCAGCCAAACTGATCCGGATAATAACAGCAGATACTTCCGAGAGACTTCTGCACCAATAGCTAGTCAAATCCATGGCATCTCTACTGCTTTAAAAATGATAAGGTGTGATTTGAGGAATTTCACCTATTGACTCGAAGTTCATATTTACTATTTAAATTAAATTGTATGAAATTTCCCCTTTGATTTCTATGTACTCTCAGATCAGACATGTCGATTCAAGACGTCTCCTTGCCTCTCCTTTATGTTGAGAGTTTATATCAGTCACACTCCCCCCGAAAAAACAGATCCAAACCAGCCCAACTGGTTAGTAAAATTGGCTTAAAAAAAATAAAACTATTGAGAGACAATGAAAAGCAAGCCGTTCACTGACATATTTACCAGAACCTGAAAAGGAATCAGACACTTACCTGGAACTGGAGAAAGGAGGAAAGTGGTGGTCAGAAGAAGCCCCAGCCACATACCGGGGGAGCTCAGGGGCACAGCACCTGCCCTTCACGGAGAGCACTGCTCCGTCTCTCCCAGCCTCCTCTCAAGTGAGACAGAATGAAACTCCCAGGTTCATTCTTGTCTACTTTCAGGAAGTGTTTACTAAAGGTGTTGCACAACCTCGGAGCTGTGGTCCTGTGACAATGGCACCCGTGGGCAGAAATTCTGGCCGCCTCCAGGCTTTAGGACTCCTCCTCCTGTTTCTCTTTCCTGCTTCCCCATATTCCCCACTCAGAGGTAGCATGTTTCCAGTATATTGCTATAGCCCAATAAGCTACCTTGACATAACTGGCTTTGATGAACCTTGGTAAATGTGTGTATTTATTATGTATATTATAAATATATATAAATATTTATATATGTATTTGCTATGTTAGCAACAAGTTGTTACAAATGTTCTTCTTCCCTCACATACATATGCTGTCAGTAAAGCAATTTCTAATCCAATCTAGTTATTACATAAAATTCTTTTCCAGTTATCTCATATTCTATTCTCACACAATGGCTGCTCCAGGGAGCTTGAACTATCCTGAAATAAGAATGTGTGACAATACAAGCTCAAGGTTTATCAGATCCCCAAGGGCATTTGTATCATCACTAATAACCAGGAGTTAGGGAAAGCCTTCAAGTCTCAAAAGATATAATTTCCAGAAAAGCTTTAGGAGCTGTCATTGGTCATAGTGAGGCTAAGCTGAGATGTCCAGATATCACATTGTGTAACCAATTAAATAGCTAAGGTTGAGTTGCTTTACTAAGTTCCAGATCCTTTAAACTTATTATCATATTAATTGTTATGATACTTCTGTATGATAAATGCCATCACCCCTATTTTGTAGAGTAAAATACTAGCATTTAAAAAGATAAAGGATTCAAAAGATTAAGACTCCGTTTTCCTTCCTTTATACAGTAAATAAGATTAAGCAGTTTGCCCAAGATCATTTATCTAGTAAGTGGCAGGAGTGGAATTTGAATTCAGTATTGTGTGAGCTCTTAGTCACACATTCTAATAGCTGACTTATAAACCCAGTCTTACATCTACTGAGAAATCATAGATATATATATATATGAAATACAAGTACTGTTCCTATGAAATACAAGTTCCTGAGGTTATGGCTAACACCAATTTTTGGTCCACTAAAATTAATACTAAATACTAAAATTATTAGTTATTCTATGGATTCCAAAGGATATTTTTGTAATACAGTGATTTTGATGAAAAAGGATTTTTCAAAATGTCATACAGCATCAACTAACAATCACAGGGGAATGTTTAAATCTAGTTACTGAGCTTTTCAGCTAAAAGATTAGGAATATCACAGGTTTCTTTTCTTTTAATCGAAGTTCCACTGCTTTTTCTTCTTCAGAGAACAGAAAGCTTATACCCACTTTTTGATTATCATGTGATTTCTCCACATCAATTCTATGCACGTTCACTAGTACATATTACATGTAAGACCCTGAAATCACAGTTGAAAATAGTCATTCTCTTTGAGATGCTTATAGTCTGGTGAGGGAGATAGGCAAGGACAGTTACCATGAAGGTGTGCAAAGTGAGTGCTACCTGTATATCATGAGACACTACCCATAGGGTTAGGAAAGATTTAGACATGAAAGTCAGAGGCTACCCCTAGCCAGGTAAGGAAAGCTTTCTGGAGGCAGAAACAATGAGGTCAATGAAAAATTAACTATGAGAAAAAGTGAGGACATTATGTCATAGCATGCTAGTTTATGGTAAATACCTTAGTATTACTGGAGCAAAGAGAGCCTGAAGGAATGGGAAAAGATCCTATGTCTGGTTTTGTCACTGTGCAAGTGCTGACAATACTGACTCCATATTTGGCCCTCCATCTTGTTCATGTTCATGGGATGACCTCCCTTGGTGCTACATGTTCTAGGTCCCTTGGAGGTTAATGTGTGCCCTGACTGAAACACAGGGAGGCTTGTTCTGGTCTTCCTAAAGTTGTTTACATAATTGGTAGAGATAATTTTGATTCCCCCCTACTCCTTTGCCCAATGACACCACAAGCTCCGTTAAGTGTTAGCTATCAAGTAACTGGATACAGATTCTTTGACCTCACTGCATGTCTTCTGCATATCTTCTCACTTCATAAAATCTGTAGACAAAAGTTTGGACTTTGTGGGGAATAGCTGTGTCACTGTTTGGATTGTTCACCACCAGATTCCCCCATCCGTAAGTTACTCTGAATAGAACTCTGTGTAAACTCTATGGAGTATCCTGGTTTGTTTTTTGGTCCTCAAGTGTCTTACTGGTTTGGAGGATACTCTAGTGCCCCTCCTCCATCTTCTCACAATGGACAAGCCAGCCAGGAGAATTAAAAAAAAAAAAAAAAATCAAGCTTGGGTTAAGGGGCCCTGCCCCAGGGAAAACCCATTGTCTGTGGGGGAAATCCCAAGCTGGACAGCCACCTCCATGTGAGGAGACTTGGCCAGGTTTTTTGAGCACTTTAGACCAGTACATGAGTACAGGATGCACTGAAAATGCCCAAGGTATTATTAGATATCCTATCAAAAATGGTGGGGGAAAGGAAATGGAAGAGGGAAAGTGAACAAATTACTTCAGCAGTAGTTCAGCCATTGTTCTGTGCATTACAAGACACCAGAGAAATGAATCATAAGAGACAGCACTTTGAACACTACCTCTCTGTCTCTTTGCTTGTAACAAGTAGTAAAAGTTTCTTTGCTTTCAACACTCCCTTGGGAAGTGTTTGATTTAATGCGCTCCAAGCAATGAATCTTTTGAGTTCAGTTACAAATTTGGAGACTCAGATGGGACCTTTGACCTGACCCCTTTAAATTCCTCCAGCTCCCAGCAAGCAATGTAGCGGCAGCAGCAGCTCACCTGATCAGCTCATCTGTGTTGCGGGAGAACCTATGGGAGGGGTGCATAAGAGAATCCCTCTTGACAACTTGTTGGGTCCGTGCACCTCAACTAGCTGAACAGGCTCAGTGGCCACTCCAGACATTTTAAGCAGAGAGTCCTTTCAGAGAAGTGAGTGCCTATTACCCTACAAATCAGCTTTAGGGCTCTGCCTCTATCTCAAGCAGCAGGAAAAAGGAACTGTCTGAGGAAGTATTTAAGAGATAGCCCTCTGAAAAAAAAGAGAGAGAGAGAAAGCCCCCTTGGGTAAATGCACTGGTACATTGAATACATATCTTCAAGTAGAGCCTAGAAATTCCCAGATGAAGGAAGTCAAAAGAAAATTTTAAGATTACACCGAGGATGATTTTAACACTCAAATGGCCTAAATGAGGTTCTTTTTTTTTTTAAATTATTTTTTATTTATTTATTTTTTAAAAAGATTTTATTTATTTATTTGACAGAGAGAGAGATCACAAGTAGGCAGAGAGGCAGGCAGAGAGAGAGGAGGATGCAGGCTCCCCGCTGAGCAGAGAGCCTGATGCGGGCCTCGATCCCAGGACCCTGGGATCATGACCTGAGCTGAAGGCAGAGGCTTTAACCCACTGAGCCACCCAGAGGCCCCTAAATGAGGTTCTTTTAAAAAATACCTAATGAGTGTATATGTATATCCAACTTGAGAAAGCTAGCTAGTAGACTAAATAAACTGAGTGGGATGCATACTTTGGTACTTGGAAGTGTCAGAAAACACTGACAGGATAAAATGGAGCCAGATGGGTAGATCAACCTATAATGTCATTTGGGTTGCAATCCAGTTCCTTGAGGGATTGAAAGCAACTGTCCTTACCTTGCAAATCTTTACAAATACTAGGAATTGAGGCCCCAGAAACAAGCTAAGGATTTTCAACATTTCTGGGAACTCTTATTTAGTTCATTCCCATTCCTAAAATTGAAAATTTTTAAAAAGGGATAGAGAAGTCTTTTTAAGAAAAGTACCTCAAAGTCTAGCCACAGCTTCCATGAGGTTACTTATCAAGGATAAATACAAATCTTCACGATAAGGTTTTTTATTTTATTATGTCTGTCTGTATGTAATATTTTCTTCCTCTGGATGGTATTGCTTTAATTAATTTGCAAAAGAGCTCTATTTCACTGGTTAAAAGGCAAACAATTGTAAGAATTGAGCTTTCTAAAACTAAAAACAAACAAACAAACAAACAAAAAACCCCAGAGATTAAGTCAAATGTTTTTCATGTTCATGTGATCATGTGAAAAATATTCAGTAGTAAAGCTAGTTTAAGTTTGTTGGTTTGGTTAAAATAAGCATGCCTTTTAAGAGTTACAAACATCAAATACAATACAGATAATCAACTTTTAGTCTACATGAATTTATTAGTTAAATTTTTGTTGTATCTGTTGCAATTTGTCAGCAAAAATGATTTAACATTATAGTTGATTTTGTCTGTTTCATGAAGCTTTCATAAGTAATCAGTAGGAACGGTAGGTTGGCTCAATAGAAAAAATGGTTTGTAGGTAAATTTCTAAATAGCTTTCAAAATTTCTGATAACCTAATCTTCAAAGTTTGGCTAGGTTAAATGATAAATTTAGTTGAATTCATTGGATATCTAAGTCTTTTCCAAATAAGATAAAATACTAAAACATTGATTACTAAACAAACATTTATCAACTTATGTCTGATTACAGATAAAGTAAATTTGAGCCTGTTAGTAAACATATTTTATGCTTTATTGAAAAATGGTACCATGGAAAAACACATTTCTGAGATTATGAAATATATTCATAAATTTACTAATCCAGAGAGTTCTGGTGAAATAGAAAGTTCACACTTGCTTACTACTTAGTTTTCACTGAAATGTAAGTTTTTTAAATGTGAAGAATTCTAATAAATGTTATTAAGACTACTGGAAACAATAAGAGAAACAACTCTGTATATAAGGAAAGTAAGGTATGTGTTTTTAGTAAGAAATGTATGAAGAATGGGAATACATTTTTGTTGAGGGAAAGAAAAAGTAAATTTGTCGTAAAATGAAATTGCTTGTTTGAGAGGGAAGACAGAACAAAATCTGAACGAAAGAGAAATCTGTAGAAAGTTTATT